TCAGGCCTTGAGGGGTTATTAGGGAGTTTTCGCAAACTCATAGGCCCGAATTCACAAACGAGGTTTGTCGACAAACCTTGGTTTTCGTACGTCATGTGACGCGTTTTACGCGTTTTTTACAAACCTGGTTTGTAAAGAACAAAAGGAGGTTTGAGCTCAAACCTTGCTTTGTGAATTCGGGCCATTGCGGACAGATAATCTACGGTTCGTGTGCAAAATCGAGAAGCTACTATAGTAACAGCAGGGTGACCGCTGATCGGTACTGAAATCCAGAACGGGTTTTGGCCAAATCTACGGGCGTTCTCAATGACGCCCCAAGTGAATCAAGTGCCTCGATACAACTATTTCATTCACCTGATAATAATAATAGTATTTCAATAGACAGAATCCAATTTGCATACATTAGTTGTTGCCACACTTAATACATGCAGTTTGCATTCTGACTATTGCGTATCTTAGACCAGGAAGCTGTAATGAATGGAGATACCGTCTCAAAAGAATTTTCCGAGGATAAAATATTCAAGATTAACCTGGCTTAACAAAAAGAAATGTAACCCTCTCCAGCCACCATTTCCATCCACAGCTGTCCATATCAATGCACAGTCCCTCTCTGGCATTCCAAATAGTACGAAATGTTACGCAACGCCATCTGCTTCCCTAAGTTCTCTATTCACTCTTTTGCAAAAATATGCAAGCATCGAGCTTTGAAGCCATGCGTGGCACCGACAAATTAAGTCATGTTTAGTGAAGATGTATTTAGCTATAACATATAAAATACAGAATTCACAACATAATGACCAATGCAACTTTCTATAAGTCATCAAATGACTTTTCCGTTCTCAGATAGCTGTATTGAAGACATGGCCATTTCAACCAGCGAAATCGACCAAGGAAATCATGAGTTATAGCGAATGAAAGGTTTTTATCATCATGATTTTCTCATCTAATTATTGACATTTCCCGAAAATTTCCGAAATTTTTACATAGCTAGGAAGGTAGTCCAAAGGTTTATCTTTCTAATAAACTAAATGATATTGTGTTATATGTTTGCGCATTTATTGATTTAGTGCTAGAAGTTGTCAAGTTATCACCACTATTCACCCCAAGTACGGGCCGGCAAAGCAAAAGCCGCCGTGCTCGCTGGGCTGGGCTGTATGTGGAAAGGGAGGACTTAGTGCTACAAGAGAGCTGTACGGTTTCGGAGGGGGATTAAGGGGATTACGGTAGGGGGAACAAAAGACGCGCGGTGCCACGGATGACTTCAAAGGGACCTCTTGGACGGGATCTCCATTAATTACAGCTTCCTGCTTAGACAGGTGAATAAAATAATTTGTATTGAGGAACCTCACAAAGACTTATGTATTAAATTTGATTACATTACGAAAATGGCCTATTCCCTGTCACGCAATACAGAACATACGGGACTACACAACTAGCACAACTTGTCTCGACTAAGCCACAAAATGACTTTTTATCAAATTTTAACAATTTATCATCAAGTTTTAAAACAATTCATATTATATCGATATTCATGTTGTTATGGTTCAGAAACAAGAATCGAAAGAAAAAAAACTCATCGGAGAGCCGTTTGCCTCAGGGGCGGATCTGGGGGGGGGGGTTAGGGGGTTTAAATCCCCCTTGGGCTGGCCAAGGTGCTTTCTATCCCCCCCCCCCCCGAAATATTGGTTGGCACTTTTTTCAAATGAAAAAAAAATAGTGCTCACTATATGATAATATGTTTTCTAACATGGCAAATTCAACTATACAACTTTCAAAAGTAAAAGTGCTTACCTTGACCATGTACATTCAAAATGGCTGCCGTTTCGGTGACAAACATCTAACAACTTCTTATCCATGGGTTTGGGGGAATTTCAAGGTTATGGCAACCACTTTTGATTTTAAAAGTTGCTTAGTTGAATTTGTTATGCCAGAAAACATATTATTAGACTCTAAAATCATTAGAATCGGACGATGTTAACTGTGTTGATGAATTTCTAAAGTGCATTGACCTTTTTTGTTACGAACGCCGTACGAACGATTTTCAGACAATGGAAATTCGGAAAGACAATGGAAAAAGAGGGAGATTCGTACGAACCTTTGTGACCGTAGCATAAGATGGCAGCCTCCCACTTATGTAGGCCAGTTATAAAGTTAAATTATTTTGAGGAGAGCCGAAAAACGGTAAAATTTTTAATCTTTCACTTTTTATTTACGGAGATTTCAAAATGTATTTGGATTGTTCACATCAATTTCCGTGTGAGATCACACACGTCACACGCAGAGGCGAATCCAGCCGGCGACAGGGGAGGAGGCCAACGAGGTGGCCCAATTCGTGAGAAAATATTTAGCGGCAAAACAGCCCGCCGGTGAATAGGCGGGGGGGGGGGGGGGTAATGAGCACTATTGTGTTTGGGTACCCCCTCCCCTTCCAGCACCACGGGAGGGGGGCCATCTTTTTTGTATACAAATAAAGGTAAAATTAACATGTTTTTCCCCAGGAGAGGGGGCCTGGGCCACCTGGATCCGCCACTGGTGACATGTCACCAACACTATTTTGCCCTCCAGCGGTGACTCCAGAATTTTCCAAAAGCGGAGGGGGGGGGGGGGGGGGGACAAACGCATACTGTGTACGAATCCTTATTGTTCGGGTCAGTGGCCCGACCTTGGGCCCTCTAGTAGGTTGCAAATCCCTGTCAGAGCTCACACTCTCGAGTTCTAGCAATAAGAATCCTCAAGATAGCCGTCTTGAGCGATAGAAACTCGATCTCATCCATCCGTTAAATATTATTTTACACTGCCCCTATGGGTTTATTTCATTAGAAATCGATTCTCTCTGTTTCTCTCTCTCTCTCTCTCTCTCTCTTTCTTTCTCTCTCGCTCTCATTCTCCCCAAAGGACACTTTCATAGAACAAGGGTTGTCTTGGGAACTGTCTTTACGGATAAGGTCCAAGGGCCTGTCGTACGACCCTTTGCGGGATGACAGCCAGAACCTTTATCGGGGGGGGGGGGGGGGGGGGGGGGGGGGAGGGTCCTGAAAGTTCTTGAATTTTTAACAATATAGAACCTTCGAGATCGTCCTCATGAGCGATAGAAATTTTTTCTTTTTTAAAGAATTTGTTGTTGTTGGCGCTATTCTACTTTCGTCCAAAGTCTTCTTCCGTAGACACAATCATGTTGAGCCAACTCATCGGCGATTTGTGATAGGGTCTAAGGTAAATCTAATGTGTACATTTAAGTTTCATGATCTTCCTTTTTTTCTTTCTTTCATTTCTCTCTCTCTCTCTCTCTCTCTCTCACTCTCTATATCCTTCTTTTCTATTACCATTTTCCTGCTTATTCTCTCCTTTTCTTCCGTCGCTCTCTATTTGGCTTTTTCCATTGTGTAGAACGCAAAGAAAAATAAAAAGGGGGAGGGACGCGGCCGATTCGCCCCTCCCCCGATCCGCCATTGATGTATACATTTATGCACACATTACGTATAGCTTGCGGTGGGATGGGGCTTCCATTTCTCCCAATACATTGCCCACCCTTTACCCAGGGTATCGATTTTTCCGTGTTTTTTTTTTCTCTCTCTCTCTCTCCATTTCCACTTTTCATCTCTTTTACCTTCTTTTCTCTTTCTTCCCACCCCCCTCCCCCCATAACAACAACTCCCATGTGATAATTTGTTATTGAAATAACAATAACACAGCACTTTTCAGCCGTAGTATTTTATTTTAGACCCTACCAAACTGTTTCGTTTAAAGTTAGGCCAAATAAAAAACTTACGACTTTCTTGTCCTTACCCGCATCCTTTTGTTTACCATTTATTATCCAGAAAAAAGCAACAAAAAAGCAGTGATATACGTAGGCCTTCATTTTGTATAAATAGCTTCTGTATATAGCGTTAGCTAATTCAAACATGGCTTAAGTATATATTATGCACTGTTTCTGAATGTTGAAACTTGCTATTATAGCAAGTGGACTAAAATGATACAACTCATTGGTTATGTCATACATTGCATCCAGGCGCGTACGCAGGGGGGGGGGGGGGGGGTTAACCCCCCTTCATTTTTTTAATGTGTGTATTTCGGAGCAAATCCCCCCCCCCCTTTGTGGATTAAAAAAAAAAAAAAAATATGCCAATGGCTGACCAAAAGACGGTGACCTTACCCCCCCCCCCCCCCCTACGGAGCAAAATGTCAAATTTTCAAACTTCGAGACCCCCCCCCCCCCCGCTTATTCAGCGGCTGGTTGAGACGTTGCGAAATTTTCGGCCCGATTTAAAAATGTTAACCCCCCCCCCCCCTGAACAAATCCTGCGTACGCTACTGATTGCCTAGTATACTCAAATAGCACAATATATGTAAATAAATATACCTTGGCTAGCCATATGGTGGCTCATGATCTTGGAAAAAAATAGAACAAAAAAAAAAAACAGAAAAAAAGTAAAGCGCTGCCTCCTCCTTTAAAAAAAAAAAGTCAGGACGAAAACTCGTTACTTTTGCTACTTGGCCTATATTATAGCAGTGGATAGGTGGGCACGGCTGTTTTGCTCTGATCCACCTAGTTCGAATTCACCCATGCTTAGTTCTGTTATAAAAAAGTAACAGCTTGAAATCATTGAAATGAGGTAGAGAGTGCATAGAACCCTTAAACTTGTAACAAGTTTCAAAACAATTCCAGCCCCTAAAATGAAGCCATCTGATGTAAATGTTAATATGAGATGAAAACAAATACTTTTTTTTTCTTCAACTCAACACTCCTCACCCCCCCCCCCTCCCAAAAAATATATATATATATATAAAACAACAACAACAACAACTCAACTCTGGAAGAAGAAAAAATATTAGGCCTACCATCCGGCGGGGATTTTTTTTTCTTTGTTTGGCTCGATGCAATATTTATAATCAAGTGTTCGGCCGCTGGCTTTTTCTCTATTTGCATGCCTGACGCTAGCGCGCTCAGCGCATTTACTGGTCGAGCGCCATCTACTGTTAAACCACGTATATAACTAGTTAACCTGGCTAGGCTCGAAGTCGACGAGGACGGAAATCGGACGTGGGGGTGAGCGTAACGCGTCTGCGGCTTCCGCTCGAAAAGAGCTCTTAATTTTCAACATTTTTGCTTGAAAATATCACATCTGGCTACTTTTCAGAATGGCGGCTAACATGTATAGAGTTGGTGGTAAGTACGAGGGTGCAGAAATGTGTGATTGTAGTGAGCTTTTTCATGTCCCGTAACAAGCTAGTCTTACCAATTCGGTCACCATTTTGTTTTCGCTAACTAGCAGCAGGCCCAACACAAAGAAAGGAAAAGACGCGTTGGTTCATGGGGGGACATGAGGACGCCCAGGCTGGACGGATCTCATACTTGACAATCCGTCCACATAGTTCATATTCTTCATTTAAAAATCGAATCTGGTGAATCTCTGGGTTTTTGGGGCAATTCTGCAGTGAATTTTGGTGGCTGAGTGGCGAAGCGCTGGGCCGCTTAATCCGTTAAACCTTTAAACTTATTAACTTTTGAACCGAGGGTCGTAGAGAGTTCTAGTTTTCTTTAAATGAATCAACGTATTGTAATAACATAACTGTGTGAAGTTGATTTTTGAAATGTATTAAAAAAAAATTAATATTTTTATTTTTAATGATTTTTATGTTGAAACTGCGGAACTAGAAGTCAAAATGATGTTTAATTTGTTCAAATATTTGCCATTGGTTAGATTATTAATATGAAGCGTCTTATATGTGCAGACCCCAAAATTATTGAGGTATTGAATAAAATTATTGTGTTTAAATTTATGCAGTCCTGTTTCATTTTCAAAGAAAAGTGACACGAGTCTTGATCAAAATATCTTTTACCACACAAAAATAAAAATAAGAAGAGGATAGACCTATGGAATATGACAGAGAATGTGTAGGTACATATCATATGCAATTTAGACACAAACAATATTTAAATCGGCCAATCGTTCCGTTTTTGTGCTCAAAACTAACATTGATTGTGCTAAAAAAACTAATATTGATTGTGGTTATCAGCAGACCTAATTTCATCATATAGCCAGTGGTGCGCTATGGTCTCATCAGTGCTAGTCGCCCTGCAACCAGCGCTCGGCAGTGCACATTACCTGTACGTAAGTTCCGTGATGATTAACTGAGCCGTCGCTACAGGGAATATACATACCTGAATTGCGATTACATTCGGGTGCGGTCACAATTGGTGAATTTGCACACAGTGTGTGCATAGCGGAGCGTACGGCGACCTCGAGTCACTCCAATTTTATTAACTTATATCATCACAATTCATGAACATTGGTAACAGCCAACAAAATACACGGGGGCGGAGGGCGAATTCGCCCCGGAAACACCATAAACAGCTTCCGAAATAGGCCCAAAATCTGATTACGGGGGCGACATCAGAAAAAGGAAATGATCTCAAATCGCCCCCATAACGATTATGAGCGGCCGCGCGCTCTCTTCTAGCTTCGTATTCATTTTGTGCTTTTCTTTGTTGGCGTGTAAAATTGTATGCACAAAAAAAATCGGTCTTAAAAATTCGAACTATATTCCATACCTTACCTGGCTTACCATGTCGCAAGCACATACGCCAACACCCGTACATTTTGCGGTTGCAAGATCGAGACGTAGCATAGGCGCCGAGTTTTTGGCGGTCGATTTTGTTTTGATAAATCATATTAGCTGAACCTAGACCACTAAACATCGCGAAATTGCAATCAATGTCCATCACGATTGCTGCAATTTTATAAAGTTTTTGTGAATAGAGGTATGAAATTAAAGCCTATTTTGTGATTATTCCCGCCATGTTTACTGCATTTTGATAATCATTCTTCAAAGTAAAGAAAATCAGACAAAATCACTGTGACTGACACTCGTACAATTGTGTGTGTGAGCTGAGCTGAGCTGAGCTGAGCTAGTAGAGCCGAAGAGATTTGACACTTTGAAATTGCTATCTGTTGGTTTGCATCATTATTGCCGCAATTTCAATATAGTTTCGTGAATAGATGTATGAAACCTGAACTTAGAATTAGTAAAAGTATTACTAATGTCTACGTTTTTAAATGGCTGTCTGATTTTCTTGTGAAAATTTTACTTTGAAAAATGATTTGATGTATGGAAATTCATGGCCAGAATTAATCACAATCTAGGGTCTATTATGTTACAGTTCTTGCATCAAATCAATGCATGAATACTTAGTTATTGAAGTTCATGTAGAAAAAGGGGTTTATTTTTAATAGGTCTAAGCAATTATGAAGCTGGAAGCCCGAAACCTTAGCCTACTATACAAATCTCAACATACTGTATCCTTTTATGAATTAATGAAAAAGTAGCCCCAGAATAAAGAGCCCCCGAAAGTTGAAAAAGTAAACCCCCCAAATTTTCCAAAAATTTGAAATGAAGCCCCGAAATGATTGGTAATTTTAGAAAAAAAATATTTCGAGATAATTGGAGAAAAAATGAAATCCTTAAAAAAAAAAATTATAAAAAAAATATAATTTCAAGGGAGAAAAAAAAATTCGAAAAAACAAAATCCTTACCCAAAAAAGCATTTTTGGGGAAGAAAAAAAAACGACCCCAGGTAATATGTGTAATTGGTGACATACAGTCCTCAAGAGGGCGACATGCATTGATTAAAAATATTTCCATTTCACCTGCTGGTAAAGTATAACCGGCCAGGAAAATATAACAATTTGGATCCTCGCAATTGATATCACGTGACAAGCTCTGGACCAATCACGTCTCGGTATCTGTCTAAGCTATCTAATATAATGTTTTATATCCCTCATGTATAGCTGTTTGCATTGCGATTGTACAGAGCAATAAACGGTATAGATAAGTACTATCTACCTGAGATAGTACTTTTGTAAAGTAATTTTTTGCTGCTACCCCACTTGCCCACCCTTGCCCATTGAATACGCATAGCAAAGTAGTTTACGCGAAATGTCAAAGTCAATGTCAATGTCAAATGAGCGCGCATCGACTGTATTACATGTATGCATGTTGCGCTTTGTAAAATTTAGCTGAAGCTAAACTGTCTGCAGAATCAGTTCTTATTATTATGTAAAATTCACTTTAAATAGACCTTATTGCCGATGTGGGATATAAAACAAATATTAACCTCCTTTACTCGGGCAATGGATACAAATTATCATCGCCTCGGTGATCTCTGGGCTACCATCATCCCTCGCCTTGCGGATCGGGAAGATAGTAGCCCCGAGATCACCTCAGCGATGATAGTTTGCACCATTACCCTCGTAGTCGATTAATATTTGCTTAATATTACACGGTTACACCCCCTGCCGGTCAATAACTGTATAATAAAATGACTGGGTTGATTCCCAAATTAAAAATTAAATTCTCTCCATTTAATCACTTTTTGTTGCACACTTACTATTAATTTCTATGTTTTAGTGGGGGGATAGTCTGCCCCTTATGCCCCAGGGTCTGCTAGTTTAAAACTGGTATTGAACATGAAATTGCTTTCTATTATTTTCATGCAATGTATACATGTATTGCTTTGTGTGATTGTTTTTCAAAAAAGAGATCTATGTCATTTACTTTCTATATTCCAGACTATGTCTACTTTGAGACATCATCGTCCCAACCATACCTCATTAGAAGGATTGAAGAACTCAATAAGGTATGTTACATTCAAGATTATGAAATAATTGTCAGTTCATGCTTGCAGTGATAGTATTTGAGAGGAACTGGTAAGAAATTTATTTAAAAAAACGGAATTTGGAATTTTGCACAAGAAAGTTCTAATCTATTTGCAAATCATGTTCATTTTCAAATGCAAAACATAGATACACAAATGGGAATAGATATTGGTATGTGAAAAATCATCATCCAAGTAACATACATGTATTTGTAAATTTGTACATTGTAGAGGGATTTTTTTCTTCATTTTTAAGTATGATTTAATAATTTTCACATACATGTAAACATTTTTCATTTGCTATTGAGTTACTTGAAATTAGTATCATTGATCAGTAACGTAGTATGACTTTAAAGGGATATGGTAACATCGTTCAGATGAGAGAAAATGGTGCTAAGGTAGCGACTTTGATGCTAGATGTACAATTAAAGATAATCTGAAAGTATGAGTGAAGTTACCGGAAACACTGTTAGAGGCTGTTGCACAGTGATGCCTTCAAAGAAAACCATAAAAAAACTTTGTTGTTTGAGAATTTTCTCAGGATTTTTTTGCCTGTTAGAGGGTTAGTACAGTTGAAGGAATATAATAAGTAACATTTCATACAAAAATTAAACAGTTTTTTCATCAACTTTCAACAATGTTACCGAGTCACTTTAATATTGTGTGCACTGAGTATTGTGATGAATCAAAAAATGTGATAAGAAATCCCCTGATGCTGAATTCAACAATACATGTACTCCTTTTCTCACAGACTGCCAGTGGAAATGTAGAGGCGAAGGTGGTATGTTTCTACCGCCGCAGAGACATTCCTAACTCGCTCATCCAGCTTGCAGATAAACATGCAAGTAAGTTTGAAAACGTCATAGAACACATGACAGGGAGGAGATACATGTATCATGTTCAGTGTTCGTGTGGGATATATATTGTGGATGGTGTGAAAAACAAAAAAAAAGACATCTGGGGGTGTTTCACAAAGCCTTTTTTCAATGACAAATGACAAAAATCAGGATCAAATCTGATGATAACCAATCAGAAGCAAGGATTTCACTAGCTGTTATTTGTCACTGATGACAAGTTTTGTGAAACACCCCCCAGAAGTGGACTGGAAGTTACATGTGCCTGCAAGGTTGCAGGGCAACGATTTGACATTTTTTATGAGCTTGCTCAATGTGGTGATTGCACAATATTGATTACAATATGTTGCATGTCTGTTTTTTTGATGATGTTTAGAATGATCTTATGACATTGTAAATTCATGATGAATATGACCTTCAGGACTAACATGCTTGAATTAATGTTCCTTTCTGTATATATGCTGTGTATTATACATCAATGCTAAGTGAAATGTGTCAGAAAATATTTATAGATATAATATTCCATTTTTGTATAGAATATATCTGGTTTCATATCTGTCTGTGCTTCCAGAGAGCTTTTTAGAAATAATTACCATTTTCATGTAAATGCCTAATAAAAGCTTTGTATCAAAGCTTGTGCCCAAACATGGATTCACGCCATAGGGAATAGTTATTAATCATCATTCATTGTATTGGAATTTGCGTTTCAGTGGCCCTTGAGGAGGAGCAGGAGGAGGCACTGGAGGAGTTAAACGAGAAGCAACGTCATCAGCTGAAGCATCGTGAACTCTTCCTATCTCGTCAGCTAGAGACCCTTCCGGCTACACACATCAGAGGCAAATGCACAGTCACATTGCTCAATGAGACTGAAAGCCTTCTCTCCTACTTGTCCAAAGATGTAAGTTCTGCATTACACCTAGTGACTACAAATATGCTACTCGGTGATATTTTCTAGAAAAATTGTATTTGGCAGTTCTGGGGGGCGTTTCACAAAACTTGTCATTAGTGACAAATGACAGTTTTTGTTTTAAGCTAGTGAAATCCTTGCTTCTGATTGGTTATCAGCAGATTTGTCACTGATTTTTGTCATTTGTCATTGAAAAAAAGGCTTTGTGAAATGGGTCCCAGGTTGTGGGGAAAAGAGCTCCTGAATATGCAGTATCTGGCAATTTTATTGTGATATACTGTAATGAATAAAATGTGTTTGGTCTAAAGGTAGCCCTTGACAATATTAGTTTTTGTTTGTTCCGGAGTGAGGCCCAGTTGTACATACCAAATGATCAAGAACACAATTCATGCAATACATGTATATAAAGGATTGATCCCCAGAAGCATAAAAGTGTAACAGACATAAACATGAAACCTCCAATGTTTTCATTTTCAATGCATTACACTTTTAATAATATAGAACATGGAGATACAATACTTTTTAAATATAAATAATTACTTTAACACATGTTTTAGCATCAAATTTCAGTTTAGTTCAACTGGCCGGCACTTTTTTTTTCACCTCTTTTTTGTCTTTTCTCTTCATCTCTAGGATGCCTTCTTTTACTCACTGGTGTATGACCCTCAACAAAAGACCCTGCTTGCAGATAAAGGAGAAATCAGAGTTGGTTCTCGCTACCAAGCTGATGTCACACCACTCCTCAAAGAAGGTAAAGTTTGAAAGTCATATCCAATTATGTTCTAGACTTGCTTGTATCTTTCATGTGTCTTGTCTTATCTTCCTTGTGTCTTGCTTCTTCTTGAAATTCTAATTAGTCTTCAATTTGCAAGCTATACTATAATGTTTTAATGAATACTGTTATTACTCTTTCCCATAATATTTCTTCAGATTGTCCCATTCTACTTTTTATTCTAGAATGTCTCTCTCTCTCTTTTTTTCTTCTTTTCTATTTCCCTCTCTCCATTTGTAAACTCCACGCCTACCCTTTATCACTGTCTCCTGTACTCTCCTGTACTCCTTTCTCTCTCTCTCTCTCTCACACACACACACACACACACACGCACATTGTCTGTGTCTCTGTCTGCCTCTTTTCTTGCTCACTCTCTTTCTCTTTTCTTCTCTCACCAGAAGAGACAGATGGACGTGATCTTGCAAACCTTGAGGCTCTTACATGGAACCCAGAACACTGTATGAATGACAGAAGCATTGACCAGTTCCTGGTGCTTGCAAGGTGGGTCTGGTGTACCTTAAACAATGCTGTATAATAGGGGGCAAAATCCAAAAATCAATGTTATAATGGAGGCATTTATGTACTTTATCTCATGTCTCTCTCTAGATATGTAGATAGATTGATACAAATACATAATTAAATCTCTATATTAAATGACAGCATTCAAAGAGATGAGAATATTTTTGTAAACAAATATTGATTTGCTTCTAGTCAAATATATGAATAAGTTCTTGATATTTCTTGGTTATTGGCAAATAATGTACTCTGGCTGTGATGGTAGTCTAGCACAGGTATGGACATTTGTAACATGACTCTACTTGATTTGTAATCTTTTAATGAAGGTCTGTTGGAACCTTTGGACGTGCCCTTGACTGCAGTAGTTCCATCCGTCAGCCCAGTCTTCACATGAGTGCTGCTGCAGCATCAAGAGATATCACACTGGTAGGTTTCATACTGGGAAGAATTTAGCATTTAGCAACTGCGTTGTTCTATTACAGCTTTTAATGTTCTTACTGTTTTACACTCTGTATGTATGGAATTCATTTGTATGTATAAGGAAATGTTCTGCATGAATGTCAATCTGATTTAATGCATCATACACATTATAATTGATCATTTTGAAATTGTTAATGCCTTGATGCTTTACAGTGATAATGTAATCATAATTTAAGCCATCTCTCGTTTTTATCTGTATAACCTGCTAACCCCTCTGAGCTGCATTGCATTGCACAGTAAGCTCCAAATAACCCTGAGTTTTTAATTTTTGTACATCTTGTATTGTAATGCAATAAAGTCAATTTAGTTTTTAAGTAGCATGTCTTTTCTTACCATTTTATTGAAAATTTCAATGTATTTTTTTCTTTCTCCCCAACCTTCTAGTTCCATGCTATGGATGTGCTTCATCAGCAGACCTATGAACTGGCCAAGGCTATGGCCATCTTGGTACCGGCCGGTGGACCGGTCATCTGTAGAGACCAGCTGGAGGAATGGTCAGCTTCTGAAGCTAATCTCTTTGAAGAAGCTCTAGAGAAATACGGCAAGGACTTCAATGATATTAGACAAGACTTTGTAAGTATTGCAGTCATGGTATGCCATTTATAATGTTATCCACTATATACTTTGTTTATATTTCATACTGACATACATTTGCATGCTCATATAAATTTATGGATAACATTTTCATTGTTTTGCATATGAATTACATTGAAGTTATTTATATCAGAAATCTGAAGCTTAAAAAAAATTCATTTCAGTTTTCTTTTAAGAACAAAAAAGCTCATTGATAATGATTTTGATTCTTTTGCCAGTTGCCATGGAAATCTCTCAAAAGCATAGTGGAATATTACTACATGTGGAAGACCACAGATAGATACGTACAGCAGAAACGTCTCAAGGCAGCAGAGGCTGAAAGCAAACTTAAACAAGTCTACATACCTACTTAGTAAGTATATTTTTCTGTACGTAGGTACAACATTTTAGTTTAATTGATTTGGTAATGTGCTTATTTGCAACCAGTGTTAAGTTAAGCCCTCACGTCCCGAAATGATTTGTCTCAATATTATTTTTCTTTTGAGGTTTTCAGTTTGTGTAACCTTATAATATGTTGATTGAAGAAATTATGGCCGTCTATTATCAGTTCATTTGTTGATAAAAGTATTGTTTCTGCCAGATGCCAGCTTTTGTATTTTGCAAACTTTACACAAAAACAGTCGTGTTAAAACATTTCATATCAGAAATTGTATGTGCGAATGTTTTTCTGTATACCAGGGATACATGATTTTATCTTTTAATCTGACCTTTATCTATGATTATTTTATATTACTTCTTTAAATACACTTTATTTCTTTGTCCTCCTTTCAGCAACAAGCCGAACCCGAATCAGATCAACGTAGCTACAAACCTGGGCAACCGTCCCAGTCCACTCATTGCAGGGGGCAACCCTTTAGGACAGGGTCCACCACCGGTTCAGCCATGCGCAAGGGCTTGTGAGAGCTGCCATGGTAAGCTTTACTTTTGGATTTAACTTGTGGATATGTTTCAAGTTAACAGTACTTACAGTCAGTTTTGATATGTCCACTTCTTTCTATTGTTGTGGCCCCAAATACACATATTTATGTGTAGATATGCTATTAGTTCCATGTTTTTGAATTATTGCTGGTCTCTGTAATGGCTAGGTGACAGTTTTTTGATCAGCTTCAGGCGTAATCTTTGTTCCTTAATGTTTGAATAACCTGGAGCAAAAGATGAAATGGAAGAAATGCTCCGAAAATGTCGTGGCTGACAAATATTATTGCATTGCACTCATAGCTATTGAAAGTCCACAATTTGTTTTCGATGTAAGGAAAACATGTCTTTTTCTGCTTTTCAAATTAGACATTCATTACAAGAATGACAAGCAATGATCGCACATTGGAGTCGAGGAACATGATTTTACCAATTTCATTCTTTCTCCCTACAGCAAGCAACTCATTTCAATGGTATTCCTGGGGACCAGCCAACATGCAGTGCAGGCTCTGTGCTACTTGCTGGGTGTACTGGAAGAAATGTGGTGGACTTAAGATGCCCACTAGACTGGGTAGGTTGAAGTCATCACAATATCAATATTCCATGTATAATGAACGATTCTTGTATGGTTTGTCATGTTCACGGATGAAGTTTTAAGAACTGTAATAGTAGATTATTGGTGAGTACTGATGGCATGGCCCATAACTGAATAGCAAATTATTATATTGAAGAAAAGATCCCTGAGGAATAATGTTTGCTTATTCATCCACGGAAGGAGGAGAGGACCGTATTTGTTACACATTCTTCTTTAGAGAAAGTGGTTAAGATTTTTTTAAATCTCCATTTTAGTTGTTAGTCAGAGATTTTGATTCCTCAGCAATAAACCACATCAAAAACATACATGAATATGTGGGTATCATATTATTTGTATTGAAATTATGACACAGATGGGGAACGTCCTGGTAACCTTAGGAACCGTACAGAACGCCCTCCCATGCCCTTGTCTGGGATGCATCGGCCTTTCTGCTGTACCATTAGCGGCTGTGGCAAGGTGAGAACATTACACATAATATATCTATTCAAACAGACGAAACCAACATGATCTTGTTATGTGCTACCCACAGTAGTTGAGAAGGGAAGTTCTGATTATCACTGAAAAGTCCAGGAAAAGTTGATTAATGCAAGTAGCTTACTTTACTTTCTTTAATTTGATTAATGTGTGTTGCAACAATAATTCTTTTTTCCTGTTAAACAAGAGAGAGTTTAAGGAATACTTTGTTAGGTATCAGACCAAATACTTCAACAAATCTAATTCTATTGTTTATGAGTGCAGTTATTGAAGGTTCTTTTGGAATAAGTTACTATCTTTTCTTCATTTGTCTTTTACTTTCCTATGGAGGAGTTCAAATTGAAGGCACACCTAGCGCGCCATTGTCAGACGGTGCACGGCCTGACCATACGTACCAGTAACCCTCGGGCCCTGTCCCTCAAGACAAGGCAGGCATTCATGCTGGTCACTACCCCACTCACACGCCTCTCTCGTTTCCTCTGTAAGAACATGCTCAATCTACCTCACGTGGCCAGGTGTCCCTTTGACCCCATCAACGTGGCTACAGTCAAACAGGAATGTGAGTACTCCAGGACCTTGGTGGTCGTCATTCTTTTAGCTCGTTTCCCGTAGTGGTTGACACTCGATTACACAATGGCTGTAAACTGTGAAGCATGGTATCCCAAATACTTTGGTAGGCTATGTATTCTGTTCCTGATGAAAAAAACAGTTAATGTGTTTATCTTAATGTTTATTTTTTTGTGTGTCTGTATGTCATTTCATTTATATATATATATATTTAGTTTGACTTACTAGTTTAAATTCATTTTTATTATGTTAAGGAACATCGTTTCCATTTCTTTTGGAAGTTGTTCCTGAGGATTTACTGTGATTACTGTGTCTAAGGGATGAATTACACAATGCAACCTATTTACTTAACTTGGGTCAAAATATATTAAAAAAATTCATTCTTTGTCTAAGATGAAAAAATGCTCACGGAAAAACTTTCAACTTTTAGACTAGAACTCAATGAAACAAATTAGAATACTTCAATACAAAGACATAATTCCAAATACATTTATTTCTTACAACTGTTTCTTGAAATGTTAATATATGTATCCTAGTTTCTGAATAAGCTCAACAATTTTTATTATGTCTTTTATAGGCCAGAATCAGCTAACCCCAGGTGTGATCCCCACCATGCCTAAGCTGAAGCCAAAGACCTGGCCTAGGGTGGATGTTGTCATGGCTAACCTGGATCAGGACCGGCCAAAGAAACCAGTCCCTCGTAAGTCACTTGTCATTATACCTCAATTATGGATATGGAACAGAGATCGATGAATCCTATGAAATATTCAAATGATTGATCAAGTCATGTCTAGATGCTTAGACATCTAAATCTACAGATGAATGCTGTGCTAAAAGATATCTCTTCATCAATGTTTATTACAGATTTCTATGATTTATTTCTTTAGAAGAAGTCTCCAGGGTAATAGTAATTATATTATTATTCTTTGCTAACCAGAAGGGAATATGGCAATATGGTGTCACTTTAAACAATATTGATTGTTCTTGAAATTAATTTATATTTTTGTGTTTTGTGTCTATTGTTGCAGAGCGACCAACACCAAACGGTAATGTACGCCCTCAGCCCACCAACCCTATTGGCACGCTATCTAACATCAGAAAACGGCAGCTTGATGACAGTGGAGGTAGAGAAGAAAAGAAACGAAAAGGTATTTATAAACAAATGAAGGTAATCGATAGCAGTGCAAGAGTCTCCAAAACAATAGGTCCTGTTCATCATATATTCATCTTGATATATGTTTTGTGGATTTACAAAAAAATGTAAGCAGAGGTCTGTTTAAACCTTTTGAAATAACCTGATATAAAATCAAGTTTTTATCTTGGATGTGGTCTTTTCCTTTGAAATAAGTGGACACATTACTCATTCACTCATCTGCAACCACCCTTTGACTGTATATCTGGTGCTGGTATTCATTAAGTAAAGTGTTTACATTGACCGATTTTCCTTAACTCAAATGTTTGTAGCTTCTATTGAAATTGCTTGTGTTTTGGAAGGTGACCAGGCAACTGGGAATGAGTCTTTGGAAGTCCTGCACTGTTAACCAATTCTTAAATAAGTTAACATAACAGTTGAGATGCTATTTGTGCTGAAATAATCTACAGAAGTTCAATGTGGTAATTTTAGTTGTATTTGTAAATATTTTTCTGTAATTTTGTCACTTTTATATTTTTGCTTTTAAAGTGAATGTGAAAATCTATATTAATATATTACTTGCCTCTCTTTCTTCATTTGCATGTTCTAAATAATGAATATATAAAACTATTATGAACTCCCATAGACAGGTTGATTTAATAGAGTTTTCCTGTTCTTTAGTTTAAATTATTCCAAATTTACATATTTATTGTAATTTTTGCATACACGCATAAATGTTGTTGAAATGGATTAACTTTTATTTTAAAAATTCACTGTGCATTTTTTCTTGAATTATGTAACAAAATGTATGTCTGCAGCAAATGTTTCATATCAAACAGGAATGTAGCTTATAAAGTGATTTTTTTTTTCTTCACCTTGTATTCACAGAAGGCCCACAGACAAAGCGTACAACCATATCAGCACCTCGTCAATATAGAAGAAGTGAGTGTGAAAATCAATGTCAAAGAGAGGAAATAATCTTACTCATCTTATTAGACTTACAAAACCATTTATCTTGAATGCAACTCTATGCAAATCTAGAATTAAATTTCCATGTCAGTCATTTACTTTTCTCAAGAAAAGACATCACTTTATCTCACATATATTTCTCTGGATCAATTGGAGAGATGTCCAAGATGTATCTTAGGCTAGAGTGTATGAAAACTACATGTAAATGTTACACCAAAATCAAACTTGATTCAGCATTTTAATGTAAAGCAACACAAAAAGTTTTTTTCTTTTTCAATTAACAAAATTTCATATTAGATCACATTTTTCTACAGTATAGATGATATGTTGATAATGTGAGGTAGTTGAACATGGATGTTGATGCTATAAAAAATTTTGTTTTCTAAAAGAAATTATGATTTTATTGTACTTTAAAATATATTTCTAACAATAAGTTTATTTCTCACCACTTCTAAACAAATTAAGGCTCTTACTTAATGAGTTTACTTGGACGGTTCTAGCTTGTGTTAATTATTATACATAATACATGCTAGCAGTGGACATTCTTCATTTGAAGAAAGAAAAATTATTTTAAAAATAATCAATTTTACTAAGCATTTAATACTCTTCAATAGGATCAATTCCATACTAGTCATTAGACTAATTTCTTTTCTACTTCTATTTGCTCTCTCCTTCATAGCTGAATATGATGAAGATGGAAAGCTGAGAGAAGTGGGTCAGGTTAGTTTAAATTTTTCTTTGTTTATACTAACACAAATTCTTGGAATAGTCAATAGACAAATTTCATGTATTGTATTCTAAATACACAACTTTCCCTAACTTCACCCACTAACTTCCTTTCATGTCATATAAGTTCTTAAATTGTAGTTAGGAGCAGTGAAAAAAATGTGTCGTGGAATATGTGGATTGTGACATGCTCTTCCCGTTAATGAAGGTTTGTGTTTTGTTTGACAGGGGGATCCTCTATCTCGGAGGAAGCGTCCGATTAGTTGGCTTGATGCTCCTGACGATGTCTTCTTCCATGCAGACAGTAATACCAGGTGAGAAACTTGAACAATCTGTCACTAAATTTATTAAGAATTGTTGGACAAGAAATGAGTAGTATGGATGTATCTCTCATGGGGCAAAACTCTCTTTATACTCTTGTTTCTCTATTTCATTTGAATGTTGAATAGGGTTTGATGAGTTGTAGAAGTTTAAATGTTAGTTTAGGTAGATGAATATTTTGTCCGTTGGTCGTTGTTACTAGGCAAGATTTCAGCTGTCTCTGCTGTTGAGGCAGACGCCTTTTCATCATTGTTGTCTCCCAGTATTGAATGAGTCATGCAGAAGTAGTTTTGTGCTGTCTCTTTAGGGAATTTAGATTCTGATGATACTAAGCATTGAACTGCTTTTATGAAAAATATTTATTTTGTTACCATTGGATTTAAGATCGACAAGATCTAAGAATTCACCTGTCAATCTGTGAACCATTCCAAACTCATGTGACAGGTGTCTAATCTTGAGATTTCTAATTTGCTTCTTATTCCAAGCAGAAAGCTTAGGAAACAGCTTAGTGTGCAGGCGCAGCGTCGCCTGGCCCGCCGTCCCTGGACCATGGCTGTTAGACCACTCAACCCAGGAGTCGTCCCATCACAGCCAGTTGGATCCCCATCCACGGTCAAACCTCCTGCGGATCCCATCGTCATTGATGACGACTAGACTATCCGCCTGGTTAACAACAAGCACACTATCGCCTGGCCTTCCATCCCTGGACCATGGCTGTTAGACCCTCAAACCCTGGAGTCGTCCCACCACAGCCGGTTGCATCCCCATCCCCAGTCAAACCTTCTGCAGATCCCATTGTCATTGATGACGTCTAGACTATCCACCTGGTTAACAGTAATACCTCAGCGCACTGGCGAACAGACTCTACACTGACTGATGCTTGCTCATCCAGGGGTAGTGTTATTTTTTGTTTGGTCTGTTAGGTCTGGGGTTGGTGTCATTTGTGTGACTGGGGTTTAAGGAATGGTAATATTTCTCTTTAAAGTAGGCCACTTCTAATACTAGTTTGTCACTGAACATGTAGAACAGACACAGTGGAATCCTGTTACAGCATATTACTCATAGAGACCCAGAAAATTACCTTGTTTGCTGAAACCTCATTTTATCAGGGCAAAATTACCTGTTTGTAATGAATATCAAGTATAACCAAGTTCTACTGTATATTATAGTAGTTGTATGGTAAGCATTAGGAAGATTTTCAAGATTAAAATGGCAATATGCTGTAGCTGGCTCTAAAGGGTTGCCTGTTATCTTGATCAATTAAACTAATTAATTGATCCTAAATTTGGGAGACATTTAGAGGATAATATATGAATAATATGGACCTTTTGTCAGATTAGCCTTGTGCTAAACAAGTAGTCTAATTAATGACTTATATGTGCAGAAAATTATGAAGGTGAGCTGTTTTAATGTACATTGTAATGTTGTTAATATAGCTTTTAGAAACCGTTCAGAGAAATCTTGCTAGGGCCTCTTTAAAAAAAAAAAGGTTCTGTTTAATAATCATTCAGTGAAAATACACAGATAACACAAATCAGAATTAAAGTATTGCAATTAATAGTACTTTACATCACAAATATAATTGAAACATAGAATTTCTCTTTAAAGATGTTTTGAAATGATCAAACACTGAGTAAACTTATTGAAGGTGTAACAAAAATTGGCTCTAGGAAATCCAATGACATAATTTTGTAAGTGTGTTTGTATATACGTTATTATGTATAGTGTGTTATGTGATTTTGAGATGCAACTGGAGCCAAATTGTGCTGATTCTTTTTTGGGGGTTAACTTTTTTATTTATTTCTTTTTCTAGTGACTTTCATTTTTATTTTGTAGCAATACCATCTTGTATTGATAATCTTGTATTATAGTTGTTTTGATACATGTTCACTTGTGATAAAATATAATTATTTGATTTCGGAAAATATCCATTGATATGAATGAAAGATGATTTTTTTCTTCTTCATCAATATGGAATGTATAGAATTTTTAAATGAGTTTCAAATGATGTTTATCTCAATAAGATTTGTTTCAAAATGATGACTAAATATAATATATATAAAAAAACAATGATTCGGAGGAAACCCAAAACAACGAAATCAAATTCTTCTTAGTTTGCTTAACAAAATTTAGCAAGTATTTATTCACTGAAAATCTGAAAGGGTTACTTACTGGTAAACAAAAAGCCACAAATAAAATGAGCAACTATGTATTTAGTGGCAATACATCAAATATTCATGTGCCAAAATATTGATTATTTTTGCCCCAATGATTTCATTTGCTGATGGTCACATTGATGTACAGTGTACTTTTTGCATAATAATTAATTTTTTGCTATTGTTTGTTCATGTTGAAAATTCATTTTAGGTGGATAGGTGAACTCAAAATAGATCATTGCAGTTGTCCATGTAATGCTTTTGAAAATGCCAACCCTTTGATGTCCAAGATGAGAACGAATTAGTCAAAAAATGTAATCATTTCTTTTCTCACGAGGGGCTTTTTTATTTTATAAAACCGTCTGGTATGTGTTTTCATCCTAAACATTGTCAGGATCTAATAATGAATCAGCATATGTAAATAAACATCTCTTCTTTTTGTATCCAAGATGTGAATGTTTCTCTGTTAATTTGTAAATATTAATTTTTCTAGTGATTGGAAAGTATTACCATGTAGCTATGTATTTAGAAAACGAGCCAATAGTGTTTTGTATATTTGATTTTTCGGGGAAAGAAAATAAGCTTTGTAAAACATGAATGCATGTGGAAAAAAAAACTATGGAGAATTGTAATCTGGTATTTCTAGAAACATTTTGTGTTGATAAGAATTGTGTATTTTATTATGAGGTCATTTTTGTGAATTTGTGTCTTTTTATACACTCTTCACGTGACAAAATATTTAAAAGGAAACTCCATACAAGCGACAATTGATAGCATCACTCTGAATTAACAAATCCTTTCTGTGTTGATAACATTGTAAAGGATGCTATGTGACTGTCATCCCTAGTATGATCTTGAATAAACCGGTTCTTGTAACATGTACATGACAAAGATACTGAGTAGATGTATGTTTTAAAGTTGTGCATTGAAATGTGAAATAGTAGCAAGGCGAGTGTGTAAAGGTGTTCCTTTGAGATGAGGGAGGTCATGAATTTGGTTCAAATGAACATATTGCAAGCATATGCGGTCCTGCAATATTCAATGATCATTGTTGCGGTTGAAATCGAGTCTAAAGTTATGAAATTGTAAATAATATGTAGCTCCCTCTCAAGGTCAAGATATTAATTAAGCTATAGGCTTATCATCAATATTTACTTTTATATTCAATTTTTCTCGAAAGCAGAAGTGATTTAGGGGCTAAAGTTTCTAGTGCTTATAATACATCCACATGACCATCCAAATGTATCAAAATTGTAAAGAAAATTTCCCAAAACTTTGTACTACCTTTAAACACACTTGTTCTGGCCAGACAACAATCGCTCCATGGTCAACATGATACATCCTACGCTAACTAAATGTGTAACTTCAAACCTTGATCAAACACTCTACCCAAGCTAAACTCCCCCCCCCCCCCAACCCCCCACCAAATTCAATTGCAACTCTCAACCTAGTCCAGAATCTGGCCAGATACATGTATTTTATCTCTAGCTTAAAGCAATTGTCCCTGGAGCAATTGTTGTGGGAGGAAGTGTTGGGTCACAGGAAACACAGCTACACTGTACGTGTAAAATGATGGTTTGGGGTAAAACGATGGTTTAGTGCAATAGACTGGTTGGTTTACTAACAAATTCATATTATATGCATTCTTTTTATACTAAGGTTACTAAGTAATGGTTACAGATTGTTTAATGGAATAACATATCACTTTAACCATAGGGAAAAAAAATCCATAGATTTGAATAGTAAACCAGTCTATTGGTGTATTGCTTTATAAAAATATACCGGTATGTTTGATTTACCAAGATATATATTGCCCACAAAAAGTGAAGCTGCATAACAACAGAAGAAAGAAAGATTAACAAAAACATTTAAAGAAAACCCTCCTAATTTCCTTAATGGTTCAGAGTTCCATTTACATTGATAATGAGTGAACATGTAATTATGATGATGTTTTCAACGAAAGTACACAATTTATCTCACCCCAATATGTTACAATTTTGATATGCCCTGATCATCAATATTTTGATAGTAACCCAATGAAAAAAAAAATAGGTCAAACTGTGGAGACACCACGATACAAATATATCAATGCCATACAAAAGAATAACTTTTAAACGCTTCCTTTTAATATATTCTACTCAGGAGTACACTAATGATGAGATTGAAAGCAAGTATCAAAAATATAGCCTTACAAAACATATACTAGAACCATACATCAAATCTACATGTAATCCTTTATACATGTACAAATGAATTACAGCACTGGCAGAAAAAAAAAGACAGAAGATTTATGCACATGTATATGTTCCTTACAATTTTCTATCGGACTTTGCATTCATTTCTAGCATAATACATGAAAATATTAAAGTTTGCAGAACTTATTTGTTTTAATGTGCCACTTATCAATACATTTTTAAAGAATTAAATACATCATTGTTTTTTCATTCACAGTTAATATTACAATGTATAATTTTTTCATGTGATCTTAACCTCTTTTATTTGAACCTACCATAATTACATTCCATTCAAATCACAAAATAAGAATGATAGCCTACATTTTCATCGGGTTTAATATTGTGTAAAATATAACATAGGTGCAATCAGATTGCGCAAATAAAACAAATATAAAATGTGATCCTTTTGATACTCTGCATGCACGATGTAAGTGAAGTCCCCATGACCGCACTTGCTATTTTTGTGCTGCACATCTGCTTTTTATCTCTTTTATTTTACATGACAACAAATATTGCAAGTGAAATTCTATTTCACTCAATATACAGTATATCCATCAGGAAAAAAAATAGTTATTACAGAGATAAAAGATACTAGAACAGAGTTCAAAGATATCTTTATAATTTTTTTCTAATTATAAATTATACATTGACACTAATTTAATACAGTTTAATACAGTATTTAATAAATATGAAACCAAAAATCATTATCTCATCACTCCTACATGTAATACCCCAGCTAAGATTAAATTCAAATATGGATTCAGAATTGCTTCTACCCTTCATTTTTTTTTCTTCACAACACACAAGTTCCACAAACAATCATGTACTATACTCTGTAAAGTCAACATTTTCAGATATAAAATGTTCCGTTAGTCACTGTCAGGAATTCAGTGTGGTTTGATATTTACCCCCCCCCCCCCCCCTCCTTCCGTAATTACCAGTGGTCATCAATATCTTGACTAAATGAACAAGTCAATGATATGAACATACACGAATGAACACACAAGATAAATCTATTCATAACGACAGGTGACATATATATATTTTCTGAGATGACAAATTTCATAATGGTCATATAAGGTATATACATGTCGTAAATTACGAACTATAATCTAAATAAATACAAAAAAACAAAGCATTCAAATAATTCACAATGTTCATTGATTACAACACACATGAAAGATTGTATGTGAAGAAATGGGCATTCAGTATTTAATATTAGATCAGCTCATGAAGCTTCATTCTAATACAGCCTTCAAGCAAGCCAGATCAACTTCTACAAAACTTTGTATCAGTCATAGTCAATACGGGAGTTTACAGATACAATCTGCGCATGGGCAGATAAAGGTCATTTATACCAAAAAGGTAAAACCCACAGAGATGAATACTGGATATGCGCTCATGAAAGTTATGTAATATTATTCATTTAGGCAGCAACGGTACATTCTATGATACCCAGGTGGAAGTATTCTTTTCAAGAGGGCAAACAAAAGGTATTCATGAAGCACATCTAGGACTTTGGCAGTTATTATTCTAATATGCTCAAAGTGGAACTTCTCCATGTGTAAAAGATCTGTGGATATTTGGGGTCATTTGTACCATGTGCTATCTGTAAACTCCCTTATTGTAGTGAAGTACCTAGCTCTGATTTCATGGAATTCATACTACCTTCCCTAACAAAAGTAAATTTCAAATTTATGAATATAGTAAATACTGCATAAAACATTCATTAAGTAGCAAAGGTATATCAATACATGCATAACTTGAATACAAAAAAAACTTGTATTCATATTTCATATTTTCATCGCACATTATGGAGAGGCAGGGATGGCATGGAATTTTTTTTTACTGGTTTGAATCACTGATTTCAATCATAAATTCACATTAAAATGCATTATTTGAGTAAATACTATGTTCAATATTTTATTTTAATCTGGTTTAATTGCAATTTTCTTTTCTTTGTTTGAATGGCTAAAATGAACCTTGTTAGAAGGGCTATCAAAGATCAATTCATATTCAGTTTTTTTTTTTTTTTTTTTTGGGGGGGGGGGGGGGGCTTTTCTATTGTATTCAGATGATTTTCAGCTTCAAAATATTGCTGTTTACTTATCTTCTTTTTATGCAGTGACAAAGCTCACTAAATCTTTCCAAGGAGTTACCACAGCCCATCTTAATCTTTGTAATTGTTTCATTTGCTCTTGATTTAATACAGACCTAGAGGAAAGATCATAAATGCAATACATTTGCAAAATACACTTATCCAGACAAAATAGAAGACACCACAAAGAACACTTTGCACTACCGGTATTTACTTTGAAAGCGCAAATAGGAATGGCATTATGATGTAAGTACGCCTATAATTGTACTTAAAAATTCACCCCAACACTAGCAACATTCCTGTATTTTCAAATTGATATAATGCATGAGAGGAGAATTTTTAAAAGTAACACAAATGTGCTTACCAGTAGTACAAAGCACTGCACTTAGAAAATTTATGAGTGTCAAGTTTCCAGTGTGTTTTCATAATAACTATTCAATGTTTACAGAGGGAAATGGATGCAATATACATCTTATTATAAAAATCAAACATTAATTTAAAACAGCAGATAAATGAATGTGTGACAAAGGCAATCAGTGAAGTAAGGCAAGTATACTCTTTGCCCCCACCTAAAAAAAAAAAGGAAATTAATTCACAATGATACTTACATGTATAACATCAGTGGATTATACAAAGCTACAGAATAAGTATTAATGCAATGTCTGTATTGTAATTTTTACCTTGCCACCAAGACTCTTTCCTTTCACTGTTTCATATAAATTTAACCAACATGAGTTTTTTGTTCTAAAATTTAGCTATGCTTTATAGTGAATTGAGAGTGCACCATTAACAATAACATGTATATATGTACACATACATCCTTTGAAGTCTTATGCAAAAGCTTTATATTCACAAGCACTTCTTTTCCATTATTGCAGTTTGTATAGCAATACAAAACACACCAATTCATGCAATGGATTTTGTTGTTTATTGTGCTTTAATTCAACTTTAATACTATCAAGTTGTTATGCCATTTGGTCTAATGTCAATTCATCAATTAGTCTAGTGTCTATCCCCTAATGGGCTACCATTAGGGACTTCAGAAGGACGCCACAAGTAGCAGTCCACTGTTTCGACATCTTTTTTGTATGCAAATCTAAAAATCCCTATAATGTGTTGTCTACACCACATCTGATCTGTATATAGTCAGCTGACCAAAAGAAGGCCATACTGCAATTGACAATACATATTTTTACAGCCTTCTTGCAGGCAGGAGGCAAAAATTACACAGCTTATGCAGCAAAACAACCTGTGGTCCTTGCTTGCATCTTTCTTTTCTTCTTTTAAAACAATCAATTTATTTTACATTAAGTAGATATTAATTAGAGAGGAAATTAAAAAAAACTCAGATATTTGATGAATGCCAAGTGGGAAAAGTTCTCATAATTAGATTAAATTATCATTAGACTCCAAGGAGAGTAGAAAAAACAAGGTGCAGAGGTATGTAGACAAAACAATACAAGTAAAATGAATTGGCATTGTACCAAATGGCAATCTAGATCATTCTCATAAGGAACCGTCTAGGATTCTTCTTACAGGAACAAGATCTCCTGTACTAGCATTTCAAGTATCAAGTGACATTACTTTGAGAACTTCTTCCCTTTTTACAAACTGATTTCATTTGTTGTACTGAACAAACGCTTCAAGTATAAAGAGATGTTGCAGGTTTGGATTTTTATATCAAGATACATTCATCTCCGTATGAATCTATGAAGACCTGTTTAAAGGTAATACAAAGTTTTGGGAAATTTTGAAAATTGGGTGGATAGTGAATCTTTACAATTTTGATATATTTGGATTCCCCTGTGGATGTATAATAAGCACTAAAAAAATTAGCCCCTAAAACACTTCTGTTTTCGAGAAAAATTGAATATAAACATTTACCGGTGCTCCCGGTAAATTTTGATAAATTTCAAATAGCGTCTATTGCCGTACAATGGTAGCTGCGACCATGAAAATCTCAGAATATGTAGTTGTGATATATAATTTTCAAACGGGAATAGCTAATCGGTCGATTTTAGTCAAGAAACATTGTTTCATAGCTAAATTAATATCTTGACCTTGAGAGGGAGCTATACAACATAAAGAGTTTATTATTTATAATTTCATAACTTTAGACTCGATTTCAACCGCGACAACGATCAATGAATATTGTAGGAAAGAATATATGCTTCCAATATGTTAATTTGAACTAAATTCATGACCCCATACCAAAACTTTGTAATACCTTTAATGCAACCACGACCAGATTGCCACAACGAACCTCACAATGTTGTGCATGCATATCCTGACATATTGATGGGATTTTTCTCTTTTACTCACCATTAGTATTTCTCTTTTTTTTTAAATTCACATAATTCATCTCCCAAGACATTTTGGTTTTTTATTGTTTTTTACAGCAATGTTACAAAATCCCTGTATTAAAGGACTTGTGCAGAATCCCTTTGTGTTGATTACAACACAGATTTTTACAAAATAATTACATGCCATTTTCCCATGCAAATTGGCATACGTATCTGCCAGATTTATCTTTGGTTAGTATTTAGTACACTAGATTTAAAAAAAATACTACTGATAGCTACAATGTTTCTAAACCTTTTGTACAATAATTTCTTTATATCTAAATTAAATAGAAACTTAAAGGGATATAGTTTTCTGTTTACAGTTATCTTAAAAGCTAGCAGTTGGTAATTGATGCATTCAGTTTTAAATTCACATTATTTGATTTTTGAACTTCTGAACAGTATTCATTTCTGCTTGAAATACTAAACTTTATAATGCTCAATGAATTTTCACATCAATGCATCGCTATGGAGAGAAAAATAATTTGGGACATTCAAGAAAAGTAAACTTAATGGTCTTTACCATTTTCACAAACAATACATTATTCAGTTTATACCATGACATAATGGTATTTTAGGCAAGCAATACAAAAATTAGACTTTAAACATCCAATCAAGAACATGAAAACAAAATGAGTACTTTGGGGGAGTTGGTAATACACATCTTCCATCAATCATGGATGTGAATATACACAAAGTCATGTCTTTTTCTTAGCTCTGACCATCAGCTTATGGTTTGTATGCCGGACAAGGTCTAACATAACAGCATTGGGTGTAATGGTTGCTTTGTCATTACATAGGTGGGATTCAGGCTGGGTTTATCTCGGAAACGCCAGATGATATAATGGTGTGATATAGTCAACCAGATCAGGACTTCAAAGAGGAAATCAGTTTCAATCTTTCACTCTGAGCTTCACAGTATGTGAAGGGTGCAGCGATGGGTACGACGATGGGGGGGGGGGGGGGTACGGTTTAGATGACGCTGATCCGTGTATTGAGATCTTCATCAGAGTTAGGATCAAGGGAGGGTTGTCTCGGATACACTGGATGACAGATCTATCTTTCACTCTGAGCTTCACAAGATGTGATGGGTGCAGCGATGGGTACGACGATGGGGGGGGGGGGGTACGGTTTAGATGACGCTGATCCGTGTAATGAGATCTTCATCAGAGTTAGGATCAAGGGAGGGTTGTCTCGGATACACTGGATGACAGATCTATCTTTCACTCTGAGCTTCACAAGATGTGATGGGTGCAGCGATAGGTACGACGATGGGGGGTGCGGTTTAGATGATGCTGATCGGTGTATTGAGATCTTCATCAGAGTTAGGATCAAGGGAGGGTTGTCTTGGATATACTGGATGACAGATCAGGATTTCAAAAAGATTTAGACAATGTGATGGGTATTAGCTTTTAGATGACGTTGGACGTGATGGGTGATTTGTCGGAGTTGATATCCAGACTTGGTTTGTCTTTGACACGTCTGATGATGGAGATGACTGAGATGATCAACCAGAAGAGAACAGAGAACCAAGATGCGCTCTAAACAACAAACAAGAGAAGAAATAAAAAGGGTCAAGTGTAAACACAGTCATACAATCATCTACTGGTATTCATTCTCAGTAAAAGATAAAAGTATTTACCCTGCGTATTGCATCTGGAGAAATTAATCTGAAGAATAAGCACATGGCGAAGAAACAACAATTAAAAGCATTGTAAAGCAATCAAGAATTGGTAAAGAAGTATGTGGCCTACACGTATGCAGTGCATTTGAACAAAATTAGTAGGCCATAGAAGAATCATATAAAGCAGAAATAAAAACTGAGTTGTAAAGTAAACATTTAAAAGTATTCATATTTACTTAATATAAACAAATGACAAGGGGATTATACCTATCTGAACAAATAAGAAATCAATGCTTACATTTTATAATTGCCATTGTAGTTTTATACAGAGAGCAAGAATTTAGATCAGTGAACATTTTGTGCTGAAATGCAAGTCCTATATTTTCCTAATAAAAAAAAAAATAAAAAAAATACCTTTTTTAATTGTTTATCTAACAAAATTCTACTTGATTACTGAACTTAAACATGCTTTTCAGAAAACCATAATATCCACTTGATTTCACCAAAAATAATGTCAAGGACACATTTCAGATGATTCTACAGTACATTTATGCTGGCGTCATGAAAATTCACCCAGCAAACCCTTTCTTCTTCACATCCATAATGAGACAGCATACAGCACTTGGCTTATTATAGCTCCCGGGCAATAGGCATGGAACTAATGAGTACATGTAGAACAAGGTTTTCCCATTCTGAAATGCATAATTGATGACAAACAGAAGGAATGTAATTTACTCTCCAACCATGGTGCTAAATTGCCCCGTGCAAATGCATATTACATTGTTGCATGAACAAGTACTTCACCTTCTTTTTGGATAGGGTTGCTTTAAAGAATGGTCAAATATAGCTGAATCACATCAATGTATAGAAAAAGGTTTGGACCGGTTGAAAAGTAGATGCTTATTCATGAAAGGAAGATTTAAATTAGTAGTGGTTCAAGAAATAGAATGAAAAAGCATTTTTACCAATGATGTTTGTTAAAATCTCAATAGATATATCCATTGCAAGTATGATGAAAATTGCAAGTTTTGCAACAAAAATATTAGTTGTTGCATTTCAATGTGGATGAGTGGATTGCAATATGATACACTTTACCTGTGCATGTATTGCTGTACAGGTTTATTTCATAATAGTGTATGGGTCAGTAGATTATCATTGAAGAAGAAATAAATATCAAACAATATTAAAGTAAACAGAATGTAGATTATGTGATCAAGAAAAATGATATCTATAGCTTCAATGATATTTTTTAAAACTCAGTGACAAATTTGGAAAGTCTTGCCTACACAATCTACATATATAATTTCAAGTATTTGATTACAAAAAAACATGAAAACATCATTTGCAAACTGGAAGCAATTTTCAAGAAATAAAATTGCATTTAATTGGTTTCAGATGTGTTCTTCACAAAAGCCTCAAGGCTTTGTGCTACAAGCAAAGGTACACAGATGTTTATCCAATTAAAGGGTAGCAAGTTTCACAACACAAAAGACCAAAACTTGAGTTTGATGATTAATGACTATCATAATACATAAATAGATGTCATTAATCATTCATGATATGCATACTCAGATTACGGCAAGGAAAGACTACCGGTAATGATATTGTAAATTTCCATAACAACTACAATGATGGATAGTAAAATACACACAAATGTAAAATAATAAGATAGTATATGTATCGGTATGTGTAAACATAAAAGTACTGCTCTTACAAATACTTGCTTGTTGTGATAGATAATCAAGTCAAGGTAATGAGAATTATCATAGGAATACATGTAATGATCGTGATGATGCTGAAATGAAATGTTTTAATGATCAATATCATAATGGATGCAACAAAAAATTGCATTAATGCTATTAAAAAGCTGTGATACTAATTAAATGTGTTCCGATGATAATTGAGGGGAAAAAAACACAAACTACTTAGACTACATTCTCAAACCTTCAAAATATTAGTTACACTTGACTTGTATACAGGTACACATACATGTACATATGTACAAACAATGTGGGAAGAAACCAAGGACTAATAATATTACATTTTCTATAGACAGCACCAACAGGAACTTACCAATCAACATTTACATCTACAGTATACATTAAAATACAAAGAAACAGTCCAGAAGTAGGAAATATCTATGAAAGCAAAATCAAGCATCATTGAGTCTTGGGGTTTGCCCCCAAACATACATTTTAGGATCAATTGAATAAACATGCCTATATCCTGGCTGTACATTGAGGAAAACATTACAAAATATTCTTTACCATATTCCCGCCAAGCAACTACGCCACAGGCCATTCAGTGTCAGGGGTGCTTACAAAGTGTGGTTTACATTTATTTATTAGCATTTGGTTGTGTTGGGTTAGGGTACAGTCAGGTGATGTTAGGAGCTACCTCAGTACATGTTGAAGTTGTTAGCACATGCATTCTTTGCAGGCAACGTGCAGCAAAGGGGTGTCTCTGATCAGCATAACCTACTTTTAATAGTTTTTATGTCAGCATGGGTTTGCGTTCTTCTGTACTCCCCACGGCTACGGGGTCTTTGTCCCGGAAGCGGCGGAAAATACTCATAAGAGCAATAACCATCCAAAAGAGGAATGAAAACCAGGATGCACCCTAAAAGCAATTACAAAGATGCTGTAAAATCATTGAAATTAAATATTCTATTAATATAAATTTAACCATAAGTCATAACCTCTGAGTATTTCAATCGAAGGCTTAGACCTATATCAACTTCTATTACTCGTAAACGCAAATTATAATTTATAATTGAAGACTGAAATCTCTGATCAGAAATTTGAGGTAAAAAAATGTATACGTATGGTACATTACTGATGTACATGTACATGCATCCCAATTTAATACTATAGAGAATTAGGCCTATGGAGAATACAAAGTATGCTTTGTGAATACTACTTATGACTATGTTTAAGACTAATTAGCATATTAAAAGGCATTTTTACATTTAATGTTAGCTCTTTTCATTCTAGAAATTAACATCAGAAGACACAATGGAAGGCAAGCAAGACATTAATGATACATGTAATAATTAAAAGGCAGTCACTACATGACTATTTAATATAAGAACATTGACTAAGATTAGACTAATATCTACACATGTATAAAGTAATGAAAATTGTCTTTCACAGATGTGATAATTTTGAACCACTACCCGCAACATATTAACTTGCAGCATCCTGGTGGACAATACGTGTAGAGAGCACATAACAAGGAAATAACCTATTAAAAGGCAAATCTACAAAATGTATTAATCTGAAATCTTCTTGAATATTATTTGAATGCCTTAGGGTATATATTGGCCAAGAATTATCCTTATTTAAATACAGATAGCCTGATAATGTACCACTTAACATCCTCCCAACTATTAATCAATAGTGATTAGAAAATGTAAAAAGTCATTTATCACCCTGCTAGTATTCTAAGAACTTAAGCTAATCTAAAAACATGGAATTTATATAATTCATTTTCACTTTTTGATAGTTATGGTACAGGCTAATGAATATGCAATGGAGAATTAATGTGCTTTTCATATTTCTTGCATAAATTAGGGTGACTATGTAGATGACAAGTAAGAGATGTTTATTTTCATGAATTTGTTATTAAAAATTGAAGAAAAAAAAGAAAGAAAGACTAACACTAACTTATTTAACAATAAATATTTTAAAATGTTGAAAATGAGAGGTTAGTTATGGTTAGTTCTCTTTTGCCCTTTATTAACCTCTGCTTTTGGCTCATAATACAGAATTTTGTTTATGTATCTACTGCACATATCATATCAAAATAAAACATCTAAAAGCACTCTCAAAGTGCTTCCGAAATTTTTAACCATAAATGAGAGGTGGTGTCTCAGAGTGTTATATTTGTTGATGCAATGATGGGCCATAAAGGTTATATCATAAATGTATGGTACATTTTAAACCTACATGTTGTACATGTACAGATTAGTTCCTCAATCAAATTCTACAATTGACATGTACTGATTGAAAAGACATTACTAAAAAAAAAATTAAAAAAAACTCAAAGATAATATTTTCATTGTAATGCAATGGCTAGGATCCTATATAGGAAGTATGAGACACATTATTTGTATCTAGCATAGTGTGGATGTCTTTACATGCGTTCAAGATCAATTTATACACACTTTGTATTCTAGCAATTTTTTAAGCACCAGTTTCAAAACCTTCATACAAAGCCTTACATGAACATATTTGTGTATATTATAAATACTACAAAACGTGTTTTCTTTCAAAAATTGTTTCATGTATAACAATATGAACATAAACTGAATTTTAAACTGTTTTAAACTGATAAAATCACTTTTCAAAATCTGAGGCATAGTCTTCAATCAAAATGCTTAAAAATATGTTTTTTTTTATGTTTAATAAAAATTCTTGGCTATCAGTAATAACCCTGTAATAAAAATATAGATGAAAAGTATGTTTTTCTTTATTTAAAAAAATCTTATCTTAAAAAATTGGGTCTAGACTTATAACTGCAACAAGCTTTAGCATGAAGTTTCAGCCATTCACACACAATATATATGTATGGTACATGTAATCATTGTGAGATAAGCACAGCACATGCCACTGTATGTACTATGGAATAATGATTTATGGTGTTATAGGGGTGATCCGACATGTGCACCGGCAACAATTACCCCAGGCTTTATTTTTTTCAAAAGTATAGAGTTAGGGTTAGGGTTGTAATTGGGTTTTTGGTTAGGGTTGGGGTTAGGGTTGGGGTTAGGGTTGGGGTTAAGTAGAGTGGATGGTTGAAATGAGAGATTTAATTTTTGTTGGGTATTGACCACAGAGCAATTGTTGCAGGAGCCTGTGCCATACAACTGTTATGGAAACCACAATCATAACATTTGGTGGTTACAGAACCAGTTTGCAAACAATGAACCACACAACTTCCCATATCTCAAACATGGACCAAAATAGAAGATGAGAGGACTCACCTGACCGGTTGTATAGAATCCAAAGTACAGATCTCCATTGTAGGTATCATGTGGCATGAAGACATAGCCTTTATCTATACAGGCTCCAGCTATATTCCAGTTGGAAACTTTGGAGCCTTTTGAACAACTGAAGTTGAACAAATAAATATGTTAACAAACCTTTATTATTAACACGATGTAGACAATATTATCATGTACTACTGGTGTACATGTACATGTACACGTAGGAAATATTGCAACCTAGATACCTGAATTTAATTTTAAAAATAGCATTTTTCCATTATATTGTTGCTTGGGCAGATTTTTTTTTTTTAAACATCAAATAAAAAATACAATATTGAAAAATTGAAATGCTAGTCATGTGAAATTCGACCATGGACAGGTACTCACTATAGATCATATCACCTTACAAAGTATGTTCAATTTCCTTGAGAATAAATAAATTATCAATTGATTGTACTCAATATATTTTCAACACATACAGTCTCTTTAAACGGTAACATACAGCACTATATTGTAATGGACTGCCTTATTTCTATACAGGTGTTTATTCAGTGCTTTGTAAGTATTTCCCTCAAATTGAAATTGTAATTTGATGACTAATATTTGATGTCTGTATTTCAAGTATTTGCATACAATGGAATGGTGTATCAAAAGAAAATGGAACATGGCAAATGTGTCAGAATTTTGCCTTCACTGATTAATCTGCCAAGAGCCCAAGACACACATGTACCTGGTATATCATAATCAAACTAAATTTAGTTAATGCAATTTTCTGTTGAAATTGTTATCAAGCTTGATGGAATTGAAACTCTTTATACTGAACAAGGTGTAATTCTATTTTACAAACTTGTAATCTAGATATGGGGCTGGAAAAAATAGAAAGAAGATCAAATAAATTTGTATAAATAGAGTGTTAAAACCAAGTCTCCTCAATATTTGAGGTGTCAGTGGTAGACAGTACACAATCAAAGATACTTACTCCTTTACATGGGGACCTGAAGTAAGACCATCACAGAACTGTTTAAAACCAACACTGACTATGCAAGATTCCACAAAAAGGACTAATGTGAAAGCCACATTGAAGATAATGCTGGGAATTGTCAGGTATTTGCTGGATAAAGAGAATGATGGATAAAGATTTTAGTACCAGAAAGAAAAACAGATTGTATAAAGCACACCAACAACTCAAGAAGTGGAAATAATACGCATCTACAATTGTCTTTGGAATAATTTGATTTTGATGGACATTTCAACAAAATAATGAATGAAATATATATATATATATCTTTAGACAACATTGAAGATGATAATATCTACAACTTTGTTCGATATAATTTGAAGGATATTGGATGGAAATAACTATTTCAAACAGAACATTGACTATTAGAGGATTATCAAGGTATGGCCTTCCCACAGATTAATAGGGAAATCCCCTCACAATGTTCATACCACTCGCACAAGCATGGCTTTTTGACTTTACATCTATTAAAGTCACTCACCTGGCCGTCTATATACACATAACATGTGTAGCAGTTAATAACATAACCAATACCACTTACTAGTAACTACCAGGCTTATTTTACGTTACAAGAGTTGAATTTTTATAACGAGATGTAAAATTTCCTCTTTAAAAATTTTGTAAGTGAGAATCCAAAGTAAATCGAAATTGCATTTAAATGGAGGATAAAATCCTCACAATGAAAATTAGCAGTTTAAGAAATGAAACAATTGTGGAAAAGACATGGAAGGAGACACACAAAAAAGAAGCATTTACTTTGATAACTGTGTTAATTATATATCATATCATATATTTACTGTATATCAACTATTTATATCTTCCAATCAAAATGCACCAAGAACACAAGTAGACCTAGATTTATCCAGTAAAGAGTGTTATCATTTAAATAAACATGCTACCAGAGATAAGTCCAACAAGATCTAATACCAACTGTCAACATATCATCTAGGGGTGTGACAGTCTTTGTTTACATCTGAAGCAGTGGTCTTGATGAGATTTGAACTGATTGAAATCAGTGAAGTATATTACATGTTTTCAAAGAATCAATTATCTAACATGTGTAGGAAATAGGACTACTTGCAGGCCTACATGTAAACAAATGTATACGGTATAGTTTTTTGTCTATCTAAAGGTTTGTGACGTACAGGTGAAGTCATATAAAGTAAAAATACTAAACCTAAACACAGTTCATACATTAACTCAAAGATATGTACTGTAAAGTAACTGTATAGATTTAGAATCTGCTCACATATGGCCATACATTAAAAAAAAATCTATCAATTCTCATTACATGAAATGATGAAGACGCTAACTTCTAAATGAGTTTATGATGTTTAACATGTGGACAAAATAAAATGTTACCCTGAACATCATTTATATATGTGTATGTAGCTTCTTACAGTATGTATGAAGGTATTAAGGAAAGAAAAGTTACTCACATTCCTTCAATCTTGCCGACTAAGATGAGAGCGTAGTAGATACCAAACACAATGGCATACAGAGAAGCAATAACTTCAATGCCAACTGCAAATGAACAAGCTGTGTTGCTTCCCAGATCTGTGAAACCCATAGCTGTGTCGTTACACCATTTGATTTCACTGTAGAGGATGCACTGATTACTGAAGGCATCCTGCAGCAAATGAAAAATCAAAATTTAAAGTTAAAAGTTAAAAGATATATAGCTTGGGACTTTGGTAGGCTCCAAACTAATTTTGGTAATATTTTTTGGACTTCTATTTCAGTTCTCTACTGCTGGACAATTTTAAACCAAACATAAAAAATCTATCAATTCATCATTGTGATACAATATGGGCATTAATGTTGCATTTCATTAAAATTGAAGGAAAAAAGAGGTCTTTCTTGCCACTAAAATGCTTTACAATGTACAGGTACAATATGTCACCATTTTCTTCAAAAAACGGAACTACACATAATTTCCCCCAAGCTGAAGAATACTACCATTGTCCTTGTGGTTTTCATGACTGATTATGGGTGCGCTGCCTAGCACTTACATGTACATAAGTCTATGGTCAGTTTGCTGTTATCTGGAAAAGGTTTGTGGCATTGTGGCAAATGCAAATTAGTACAGACATTGTTCAAATTGTGTAAGAGAAGATGAATTTTTATCAATTTGGCCATGAACGTAAGAAAATACATCTCTGACAGATGCACACAAAATGATGTAGTTATAAATCATAATAATATATATTTTAACAACAGTATGGATTACCCTCAGGCTCAAAGGCCTCAAATCATAAATATCACACCTACACTGTATACTGCAATGGAATTCCATCCTTAACATTAATATACCCCATATAAATGCTCACTTACACCATTTGACTGAATTTAAAGAGCGTTTAGCATTGTATCTGCATAACGAAGAGTTTTAGGATGTTGCCCTTTTTTGTTGTTGAAAAATTACTGCAAAAGTGAAAAATTAATCACTAATATTATTATTATAATTATCATTTAATTTTTACTACAATTATCATCATCATCATCATTATTCATTATCAATACATCTTATTTGCATGTACTATGCTATGTAGATGTGGCCTGTTGGTGCTTGTAATTCATCTGCCAATTTTTAGTTGATGTTGGTGACATGACATTTGTCTTGAGCCGTTGTGCTTGTTATATTCAAGGTGTTAAAGCTGCCGCTGTATGACCAAGTGTACACGAGGTAATTGGTATAGTATTGCTACTATAACTTAAGGGTCTGTGGAAAGACCCTATATAGGCTTTGCCTAAATGCATGAATCTTATAAAACCCTTTTTTCTCTATTATTTAATATTCATCATGTTAAACAATAAACAATGAATCTTAGTCTTAGCTATACTAGAATATCACTGATATTCTAGTATTTCCTTTATTAATATCAGGAATAATTTGAAAATATTACTAAGTTATTACACTTTAGTCTTTACAGGAATATAAAAGAAATTCTGGTTCAATTTAGAGTCAAATCTTAGACTTAGGGGCGGTAGCGTACTTTCGTATCCATTTTTGTCCCGTAACTCTGACGTGGAGATACCCTACTAAAACATAGGTCTACAAAAAAATCATCTTAATCTTCATCAATTGTTCAAATAATGGTCATGATATCATTATCAAGTCGTGCGCCCTTCGTCGGTACGGTATTGATTTGTATTGTAATTGTGCATCCGTGAAACCTGTGAGAAAGTGAATATTATAGTTAGGGCCTAGATCTATACTGTCTTCGTTTTTAGGAAAAATACTCCAAAAATGATAAGAAAATTGACACCAAAGCCATATCATGACCATTATTTGAACAATTAGGGTCTAGATGAAGATTTAGTTGATCCACGCCGGAGTTTTTCTTCTTTCTTCCTTTTGTTTTGAGTACAGACCTCTTTACAGAGTATTATCGTACTAGAATATACTGGGGGTGTGCAGGTAAAAAATAGATACGAAAGTATAGGCCTAGTGCTGACTTAGGTGCATGCACATAGTCATTGACATAGGGCTCCCCATGATAATACATACACCGCGTCACTCACACATAAATTTCAATGAATTTGCAGACAGGTCATGCATACAAAATGAGCAAACATAAAAACAAACGCATGGGTCTAAGGCGAAAATTCGAGAGATCCGCCCCCGGCCCGATCCCGACGGCCGACATTGAATTGAAACACTTACTCTAGAAATTCCAACTGTGATGGCTGCAACGAGTCCTGTTATGCCAACGACAAAGTACATCACAGTCTCAGTAACTGCTAATACACCTTGAATAGCCATTTTTACAACTAAATTTTGGATTAACGTTCAGAGATTGTCGTGTCAACAGGTATCGAGTGTCACATCCTAAACGCCAAATAAATATGACAGCTGCGTTATCGTTCTCGATTACCTTACACATAGGTAGCTAAACGCGGCCACGTCCATTGCACCGACCTCAATCCACCCCCCCCCCCTTTTTTTTTTTAGTTTTAGAGGAAGATCCATCTACTGATAATAAACAATTGCATTCATTATACATGTAATTGCATTAAATTATTGTGTTGCAATATTTTCCTTAATCACATTAATTGATCATCCATACTTTTGTGTGTGCATGTTGTTGTTGGGGAGGGAGAGGGGTGGATGTAGGCCTATTCCTTAATTTTCAATCTCATTCCTATTCAAGTACCTAACCAATTTCTACCGTGTAGAAACTGGTGCAGGGGGGACGGGTCTTATTGTGAAGGTATACCGGTATACTACAGACATTAATAGTGTACTCAGGCAATATGTGATATATTCATATATTCATCCATGTCCAGGTTTAATGGATGTATATTGATTAATTTTCTTCAGTCATGATATAAGTAATGTAGGTTATTCCAATGCAACCAAACAAAAGATAAAATGCCACTCATGCAGATCGATATAAAATCATACCAGTTTACATCAGTCCCACTGTAAATATGTCAATATCAACAAAAACATTCACTCAAGGATTTCATGTGCACCAATTAATAGTCACTTTTAACACTCACCATTAACAGTCACACAGATGACTGACTTTTATCAATCATTTGGTCACATCTAACCTACAGCATATTTATCCCCCGGCCGGATTTTTTTATTCAGACCTACAAATAAATGAGAGATCTTAAATACAAATAGCTCAACTTAATCCTGAAAAGTTTCGGCAAAATGAATGGAAGGTAGGTTTATCACTAGATTTGTATTCTTGATAGCCATATTGTTTTACATTTTTGGGAGTAGAAATTGCCAGTAAGTTTGGCATTCTAAGAACCTGTCTTCAAACTTGTCAATAGATATGAAATTCTTTTCTTTTTAGTTACAAGTTTTAGCTATTACTGTCAGGAAATATTGTCAAGCCCTCTTGTCAAGCAATGCCCCTGATTATAGGTATAGATATAATTTGTTTGTAGATTTGAACATTTAGTGTTAATTTAATCTGATTAATTATGTGAGAATTGTTTGAAGTCTTTACCAGAGCTCCAGTTTATCTCAAACAAATGATTCAAGGCAACACATCTTTAGTAACAGTCGGACATCATATTTGCAGATATAATTTTAATAGTACATTTGTATTTTGGACACTTCCTAGAGATAATGCCAATACTTTTTAATATGCCATAATCATATTGGATATCAGAAAAATACAATATTTATTTTAAAATATATATTTGGTAGTGCATGTAGGCTAGGATGATTAATATCCTAATAAAATGTTAGGTGTATATAATGACAAAGCTAACATGAAGAACTTTTATAGTCCATATAGTTTTCATACATTTAAGGAAATCTAATATCTTTCTATTAAACATTTGAAATAATGTTTTATTATTGTACAGTTTATTTGGTATTACAGCTATTATAACCTTTAAAATTAGTTCTTTCTTCAGAATCAGTAGAAATTTATCTTTATTTGTAACTCTTTTTTCTTCTTCAATGTACGATCTCATTCTACCATATCATTGTAGTGAATAGAAGCTAATTACAGCAGGACAAGCAAAAGCTAACCGAAAAAGAACCATAGAGAGCTATTTTTATGTTACATCACCAAACAGGTGAATCCCTTCAATGATCAAAGCTATACTACCATATAAATCACAGCGTAACAGCTGCACAATTTAAAATTCTTGATTTAGTACAATGTCTTAAAATTTCAACATATACTGCCGTCATAACTTGACTTGCAATGAACTTGAATAGACAGAAAGGTCATATGGTAGATTCACATAAAATGTCAATATTCGGATATAAAATGTAAGAAATCAAAAAAATATATTTTATTTCATGTCTGATATAAAAATAGAGAATAATCTTAAGTACACTTTATTCTTACATTACAAACATCTTTAAAGTACTAAAATTATTTCAATATAATTGAAAGCACAAGAACTTTTCCATTCGTGGGTACTGTTTTAAACTACCGGTAGAGGTATACAAAAATTGATTAACTAATTAATCATTAATCATTAATCATTCACTGTTATAAACAATACCATTCTGGATTGCTAGATCTTCACATCAAGCAAAAGTACCTCCTGAAAGAAAATATAGGAAATCTTTCTCCACATACGAGACAGAATTTCTTCCATACTACTACATGAGACTTCATTTGACCTACATTTTATCTTATTATTACTTTAACCCATTGCCTACTAAATAGTGTCAATTTCATTTGCTTAGTACAAAAAACCTGATTCCTCTAGCTAATGGGTCATAAGTTACAGATACTATTCTCATTTACATAACATATTTTTATATAATTCAATTACATTTAAAAGTCTATTTCAGTAATCTAATTTCTTCCAGATCAGGTGCAGTGATAGTTACTAGGCAGTGACTAACCCTAAAAAGGTGTGGAAAAAAAATAGAATGCGTACCCATAAAACAACAAATATGCTTCAAAGGAAAATAGAATTAAACTGATTTGTGCGATTTATGTGATATACAAGTACTATCATAAAATGATAAGTTTTTGTGGTTGAAAAAATAGGCATGTTCCTGGGTTCAACTCCTGGACAGGGCCCCATATATCGCAAAATGATGAGTTTTTATGGTTGACGAATCATTCTGTCACACGTCTGAGGTAATAACACAATTTTTTGAAAAATACTAATCAAGTTTACCCTGAGTCCCGAATCTTTTATTTGCTCACTAGTACCAATCAGACCCCCCCCCCCCCCCCCCCCCTGTGCGTCAATAAAATGAAATTTGTAACAGTAGGAATAAAGTTGAATATTTTTTCCTCAATTTTAAGAGCAGAGTAATGCACTAAAAAGTTTTTCCAAGGTACAATCTAACTTTTGATGTAACCATGAATTATAATTAACCTAGCTCCGAGTCTGTAGACTGTACATCCACCAAGAAGATAACTGTGGCAGTTTTCATCAAAGAAGATTTTGTAAATACACTTAGAAAAGAGAGAATATCAATGGGCATCTATCTGTAATAGTAATGATCACACTGCTTAAGAATTTCATCATCTTTTCTTTTCTATTTGGAGGTAGACTTTATGTGCACAAGTTTCTTAATAGTACCTTTGAAGTTACAATTTATCTATAAGTGTTGTAATAGTTCACTGAAAAAATCTAAAGAACAACATCCCTGAAATTTTATGGAAAATAAAATATTTCATATTGAAAAACAGCCAAAATTATTTATGATTTTCAATATCCTCTTCTTACCTTTGTATTATGAATAACACAAAATCATTGATTTTGTACAAGATGTGTAATTTCATAGAAATCGATGACATTGTCTTCACCTGCAAATATGAATCTCACTTCTCATAATTTTTTGACAGATCTTTCAACATCTGTATATAATTTTTAAAAGAACTATCTCTAACTGAATTGCTTGGCAAAAAGTTCCATAGTAAGAGCCCTGCATTCCTTATTCAGTCGCGGGATCATGAAGGAGTGGTGCCAATGATAGCGTTTAACAATGGAAGACTCTTTCAGGATTAACTTCTGCCAAGACGACTTGAAGTCGCCAAGGATGAAATAGGTCTGTCCCACCTCCAGGTTTGGACATCTGCAGCTACCAGATCGTGAGTATTGCGAGATGGAGATCCTTCGTCCTGCATGTATGGCAGGGAGGTCGTATGCCTTCTTGTGGAGTTCATCAACATTAACAGTGAGGCGCAGTTCATTGTTAAAGCGCTGCGCCTTCCGGACTGTACCTGTTATCACTGCAAAAAATGTGGTTTGATAAAAAATGGTAAAGTATAAAATTTGGATGGATTATTGTGTAATCAAAGTCTGTGAAAATTTCTTTAATTTCATTTCCCTAGAATTTTGCAAATTCTTTGCAGGGTTCATACCACTAAAGAGGGACTTCAGTTGGTTTTCCTCAATTATCCTGAACCCCCCCCCCCCTAAAAAAATCTATCGAGAGGTAACAGCTTGACATAGAATAATGATAAGAATAAAATCAGGTAAATGGCATCCCTGGAAGAAAAGTTCTTCCCAAAACATGGCCATTAACCCATTAGCAACTAGAGATTTTGTAAAGATGGCCTATTACTCACTGGAAGATGTTGCAATATTGCTCTCATTTTGACATTGTTCTGAACAATATGAAACGTGCACTATTTTTCTATGCAGAATCTTACGATAGACATCATAAGGATTACACATGAATAACATTATCACAGTAGACCCTAGAACGGATACTATATTGCGTTGAAAACAAACGAAAACAGACGGGCGGTTTAGTTGCTAAGGGGTTAAGTAAAATGAAAAGACAATAGAGGAGTGCTTCTTAATGTTATATCTTCATCATAAACATAGCCTTCATCTTCACTAGTCTGGAAAACTCACCAAACTTTGCATCGCAGTATGTGGTATTGTCCACTTCAGAGTACTCTCCTTTGCATTTCTTAGGGCACCTGAAGGTTTCTGAAGATCAGGATCAAAACAAGAACCTTCCTTGTTAACAACAGATCCTGGAGGAGTAGGAGGACTAACACAGCATGGGTGGTAATAGTGATGCAAGCTGGTTGGCGTGGCAACAAGTAGATGATGTATACAAACATGGGAGAGCAGAGCTAGGCAAAGCATAACCATATAATGTGAAGGATGCAGGGTCACACATTTTGCACTTCCTGTAATAGGGACAGTAGAAGAAATAGCTGAAGGAAGATGAAAATGACCATTAGCATGCAAGCTATTTTTTTATTATATCCTGCATCAAAAAGCTTGTCACGTGACCAGAAATATTTCAACCATTTTAAGGTTGCTCTTAAAAAGTACTATTTGGGAGACGTAATACTTGGGTGTACTATTTGGGAGTTAAATTTCTTTTTTTAATTCTTAAAATTTGATTAAAATTGTAGAATGTTAAAATGTTAACATTAACAAAATCTTTGTTAATTTTTTTGATAATTTTCTCTCTTCAATTTCAATGTTTTATTTCAATCTTAAAATGTTATAATATTAAAAAATTAATGAAAAAAATATTATTAAAACAAAATTTAATACAATTTTTGTTTGTTTTTGATGCAGGATATAAAACAAAAATACCCTGTCTTCTTTTCGAGGTACTGGTTAAAACTATGGTATACAGTATACTATGCAGTATACTCTTGCCCAAACTTTTAACCAGAATCTCTCAAGACAGTGTTTATTTGTATAATATCTTTTAATATGCTTTTACATTTGGGGATTGGATTTAATGAGGATTGGAATTTAAATGTTAACATAAAGTAAAAGCACATATTAATTTTAAATAATTTGTGTGTGTAAAATGATAGCAAACAGATAATACAGCAGACAAAAAGAGAAGGACAAAGAAGTTATTTTGATCCAAAATAGCATGAAAACTCCAAACAGTCTTACTTAAATATCTACATTTTGTTTGAAGGCAATGAAGAAAAAAAAAAAGGGGGGGGGGTGCTAATCACAATCGTAATTTTTAAACACAAAAACATGTTAATCGAACTGGCAAGCTAGTATTTGTTACAATATAGTTGTTACTCTTTAACAACCTACATTTTATTTATCATAGAACTCTGTGTCTTCCTTTTTACCTTAATATTGCAAGTCATATTTCATGCATCCTAAAAAAGGGTAAATATACATTCAAAAGCAGGGCATTCATGATCATTACCGGTAGTAAAAAGCATTAAGGCACATTCTTACATAGTAAACTAACAATGTTATATTTAGCAATGTCACATCAGCATTTGAGTTAATTTTTGTCTTCTTCTTCAATTGAAGCTTTTAACGCTCATGCAGTCATAAGGAAACAAAACAACTGAAAATATGATGATGCAGTTGGAATGTCAATAATCACAATGAAGGATTATTCTGAATGAACAGAGCAGAGATGGGAAAGTTGGATGCACACCTGCACAGGATGAACACTTCAATACAGACAATAAAGATGACCTCAAAATATATGTCAGATTGTGATTTTACGCACCTAATTAAAAACCTGTTTGATTTGTTGCATTAGCACTTGATTGGGTATGGAAAGGGAAATTATGATTTATCTTTAGCATACAGTCTAGAGAATTAACATGGGAATCTGTTTCATCATCATGTAATTCCAACAAGCCAGAAATACACATATAATATTGTCTTTATAAAAAAAATGTAGATATAGATCTTGAAGCCAAAATAGGATAGGCTAGTACATAAGGCTACTCAATAGGATATTGGTCCATTTTGAGTGACACAAAATTTGCAGCATTTACATAGGGGAGACTAGAAAGGGCCGAAGCACTTTTGAAAGTTGAAAATGTGCACAGACATATTTATTACACTTATCAATACACTAAAACACTAAAACTTGTCCTAGATATTTTGTTCTTCTTCTGAAATCCCCTATGCTTAGTATTTGCAGCAAAAGTATCATGCACTGAGGGTATCCTTGTATGGAGCAGACATCCCCTTCCTCTGGCACATGTGACATTACCTGAGGGTGATGGTTCAAAGGGTGTGGTGGGACCATGAACATCAACGTCTCTGATATCCTTGAGACATTCCTCAGGATTTCCTCTCCTATGACAAGAAGTGTCAGAAAATCAGCTTTGAGTGATCAGAGATATACAATAAACTGTTCCTACTTTAGTCTGGTGTCTACTACAGGAATAAGGATTTGTTTGAAAGTTTTTAATTTTTAAAAATCTGTACCTCAACAATGTTCAGCTGTCAGCTACAGCCTAGACAACAATATGACCCAACTTGACCTTTCTTATGTAATGAATAATGGGTTAAACTTTTGCGTTAAATTGAAATGAAAAGTACAACTTTCATAATCTTCACTATCTTATTAAAGATGTGGTTGCTCTAGTGGATCATTTTTTTGACAGTTAGATTGCCTGACATGGCACTAATATCCTTTAATGAGACAGTGATCTACATCTACCACTCCCAACCCATGGGTAGAAAATGGGTATCTGGTATGAAGAAAGTCCTTGAAGCTTGGCTACAGGCAGGGTAAATTACTTCTTTCTTGGCACCTTGAGGATTCCTTTATAATGTTCACATTAGAATTGTAGCTATTATCTTTACCATGGTAGTTAAATTAATATCTTTGGTGACATTTTTCAAATGCTTGCCCTTAAATACTATCTACTTATTACAGAAAAACAAATAATTTTATTCACAGGAATATTTAGCTACACTTTGTTATCAGAAACAAATAAATGTTCATTCAAGACATCTTTAATGACAGTTGCGATATACATATGTCACATATTTGATAACAGTAAGACAAGGAAATATTTCTAATTAAAATCAAAATAACATCATAGGCATAACACAAACATCAAGAAATAAAATCCAAGTGTTCAAAGAGGAATACTTACTTTCGAGGATCAACGATTTTGAATACTTTCCCTTGAGGAACAGTGGTCTTTGCTTCACTAGTTGAGAGAAGATACATCTCACCTACATCAAGATTTATTCAAAGAATAAAACATAACCATGTAAAAAGTTGTATAAAATTTATATTTGTCTTAGGCTCAAATACTGTGATTTATCAACCATAGTAATAATTACATCCCTAAAAAAATTTAGCAATTTTATCCTACAACTGTTTATCTAGGTTCTTTTTTCTTCCCTCTTTTATGTCACAGACAATGATGTTATATGTAGGACACATGCTCAGGCAAAAATTGCCCCATGATCAAATACACTAACAAATTCTTAAGTTCAATCTTGGATAAATGTTGAACCTAATCCTAACTCTAACCATAGACCTAACCTAAAACCCAATTGCAATACTAATAACCCTGAAATTTTGACAAAGTAAGATTTGAGCATTATCACCAGAGTATACACGTATATCACAGCATCTATGGTGTCTTTCATATTTTCTTTTTGATTCTAGTAAAACTAACACTAGAATACATTCTTAAATCATTCTTCGCATTTAAGAATGTTATCTCACCTATTTTTCTGAGCTACTGTTAATCTAGCAAACGTTTGCATGCATGACATTTGAATGAATTTTGCAAGTGGTACAGATTTGAGAAAGATTCATGCCACAAAATAACCTTCCCTAACAATTCACAAAAGATTTACAATGCAAGAGTTGATAAATTTTACAGAAGTCTATATACCTGCTTCATCCTCTCCAAACGAAAGGATATTCTTGGGGAAGGATCCCAGCATAGACCCAGTGCAAACAGTGTTGTCCCCCAGGCAGAACTCTCTGCTATTCCATTCTTGGGTAGCTGTGTTCTCATTCAATTCAAACAATCGCCTATGAGTCATACAAGAGTATAAGAAGAAAAGAAGATTTTAATGTGTTGAATAAACAGACTTGAAAGAAGACCATCCAGTTGGACTACTATCTATGAAATCATTAATCACCAGGAGATTCACATGCCTCATCAAAAAATATTGACCCGACCTGAAGAATAAAACTATGGTAACTTTTGTCACTTATTTGTAACATCATACAGTTCAATATCAAATTGTTTACAGGATAAATGCCAATATTATCAAAATAATGAAACATATACACTCCCAAAACAAGGCTTTGTCAAGTGCACTGAAGAAAGTCTAACAAATATTTTGTTGAGACATGAAGTAAATTCTTGTACATACCCCGATACATAATCTCCAAAGATGTATTTTCCATTAAGGTTTGGGTACTGACACCCTCTGTACACATATCCACCAATCACAGATTTGCCAATGGTATGAGGGTATGCATGGATGGGCAGTACTTCATTCTCTGCAAAATGAAAATAAGAATTTTATTTTGAATCAATAATCATATCACATTTCACAACGAAAGTTCTCCATACATGTATATACAAGTATGTCATAACAAATTATCATGACAACAGTCAGGGTTTTTCATTTGTTCACATGACAAGATGCTACACAGAGAATCTTCATCAGAACCGAATAATTTGATGCCACAATAATGAAATATTTTGAAGGATCATGTGGTAAAGTGGTACTGCATTATACAGTGCGACCCAGAAAAAAACGAAACTATCGATGTTTTATCATAACTTAATCACAATCATAATTAATTAATGACACATATTTGTAAAGCTTAGATCCTATATATTTCACGCATGAGTGATTAAAAGCAATTTGAAGGAAGGAAATCAATAAGTTATTTGGCAGACGGTATCTGAATTTCGAAGAAAACTTCACAATTCTAGAAAGTTCAGTTTCTGCCCTTTCATATGGCACCTCAATCAGGAAAAATGAGCAAGGAATAACAAAGTTCTGTTTGTTTAATGTGATGCTTGCATTTCCATAATTTGATTTTAAAAGTTCGTTTTCACTGGCTGCCTGCCGTAGCAACAAGCAGAATTGACAAAAGACTTAACTCAGTTTCATTGACAATCAGCCATGCATGAAGTCTTTCGTCTATGTCTGATCATCAACGAAACGGAGTTAAGTCTTTTTTCAATTCCTTTTGTTGCTATGGCAGGAAGCCAGTAAAAACGAATTCGTTTATTCAAATTATGGAAATGCAAGAATCACTTTAAACAAAGAGAACTTTGTTATTCCTGGCTCATTTTTCCTGATTGAGGTGTCATATGAAATAGCAGAAAATGAACTTTCTAGAAATGTGAATTTTTCTTTGAAATTCAGATACCGCCCGCTAAATGACTTTTTGGTTTAAATCCTTCAAATTGCTTTTAATCACTCATGGGTGAAATATGCATCATCTGAGTTGCATCAAATGAAAGAGGAGGATCTAAGCTTTACAAATATGTGTCATTTATTAATTATAATTGTGATTAAGTTATGATCAAACATCGATAATTCTCGGTTTCATTTTTCCTGGGTCGCACTGTATATCGATCCCACGAGGCCAAACTAAGAAATTATATACCTCACTGCCATCTTATTGACAAAAAGCAATTATATCTACCACAAAGCATCAACAAGATATATACTTTACTTTTTATTAACTGTTATGACAAATTCCATAACCTAAATTTTTGCATTCTAAAATCTATACGGTTTGAATTTTTAAAAAATTTCTTTTTCACATCATGGTTTTATTGATAAAGGATATGAAAGTGAATGCAGACTGTCTCATTTCTCTTACCAAGGAAATCATTGCACATTGTATTATCATAGCAGGAAAACCCTTCTTTTCCCCGCCATCCATAGTTGCCTCCCTTCTCGATGATATCAATCTCTTCATAGCTATGCTGGCCAACATCCCCACAGAAAATGCGTCCTCTTCCCTCCCCTGTCTGTCTATCGCCCTGGTCGATAGAGCAACGCCACATATTCCGGGTGCCATAGGCATAGATCTCGTGACGTCTCTCACTGTTGTTGTACGAGACATATGGGTTGCCGGGTGGTATGGCATAGGCAAGTCCTTCTTGTTGCTGATCTACATCAATTCTGATTACAGATCCTAGCAGCTCAGCCCTACAAAAATAAAACAGATTTAAAATAAGCAGAATGCAATCTCTTACAAATCCACAACAGACACAAAGGTTTATGATAGAGATTTATACAAGTGATCATTTCATACAATGTTAACTGCCGATTAAAACTGGAGCTTCCAATAAAAAAACTAACTGTACACCAGAAACTCTTACAATGAGCATGAAATGTTTTAAAGATTTTCACTAGAAGTTCAGATTGCAAATAAACACAACACCGAATTGTTTGCAATTTTCAAAAGTTTCTTCCTGTAAAAATTGCTTCATGTTATGAAAGTTTCTGAATATACTGATGTACACATAAGTGCAAATAGTTCAGGAGAAAAACTGAATAAGAGCCAAACGATGTAATGTGTGCATTATCAGAAAGAGATGACTTACAAATTTTGAGCATTTCCATATTGCCCAAAGGGATCTCCACCTCGACCACCATCACCAAGGAAAGCGTAGAAGTAACCCTGATCATCAAACAGCATCTGACCACCATTATGATTACCAGCAGGTTGTTCAACGTTAAGGATAACGCTCTCGGTTGTCATGTTTACCCGATTGGAGTCATTAGACATGGTTTGAAATTCACTAATCCTGATTATTTCTGACTCTGAGGAAGATAAAGTGCTGTAATACACAAACAATCTGCTGTTGTGGACAAAGTTTGGATGAAAGGCCAGTCCAAGGAAGCCCCTTTCATCTCCCCTTCGACTTGATGTCTTGACGGTGTCTTGGATGTCAAGGAAGGGATCGTTGAGTCGTGTCCCATTCCTGAGGTACACATGAACAATTCCTACTTGTTCTGCTATGAAAAGACGGTGGGTGCTGTCGTTGGCATGGACAGCAAGAACAGGGTTACGTAAGCCATTGGCAAATTCCTCGAAGCACAGGCAGCCATCCCCTCCACCACTTCGTGCATCCCAAGCCAAGTCATCAAGGAACGTATCCTGAAGGATGTTTGGGTAGCAGTAGTCCATATCACCTATCTCCACTGCAGCACAGAATGCGCTCTCATTTGTATTGTGTGCATCAATAATTGCTGCATCATCCGTCACTAAGGGAATAAGTTCTGGACACGTGTTGTAGAGAGAAGAGCAGTATCCTCCACACAGACCTGGCAGAGGGGTCTTACGATGTGTAGTCTCTGCATCAAATAAATGAGCTGCGTAGGGTGAACATTCCTGGCACAAGATATCCTTCAGGAAGTTTCTGCATTCATGTGCGGCACTTTCTGGCAGGTTTCTCTTCAGCGTCTGGTACCTTTCTCGGATGGCTTCATTCTGAGTCAATGTACAACAACCAAAGTCCTTGTAACCATCACAAAATGGCTGACTGTCTGATGGAAGCTCAAATGGTGGGTAGAAATCAAGGCACTGGGGATGTGCATGGACAAAAGACAGATGTAACCCTAGCACAAGTAGGCTCAGCATCATGGTGACTCTCTTCATATTTTTCCTCTCTTTGAAGTCTGATGGAAGATCTAGAGAAACAGAACACAGAATGCAAAGAACCACATAAGGCCATTTAAAAAAATATATTTTTGGGGGCCGCCTCCTATTTTTTTTTTTGAAATTTTTTTTTTGAAATTTTCTTTTGAATTTTTTTTTTGATTTTTTTTTTTTTTTTAAAGAAAAAAAACATGAAAAGCACTGCTAAAAATAAAATGGATCTATTTCTGATTAAAAAAAAAAAAAAAAAAAATGTCGGCGGCCATCTTGAAAAAAAACCTGACTGTCAGGGAAAATGTAACGAGCGGCCATTTTGAGCGACCATTTTGAAAGGAAAAAAAAAAAGGAGGGCCTCCTCCTTCCTATTTTTCAAAAAAACAGGGGCAGTATTCTGAACATTGTTGTAAGTTTTGTGTTATCTTTTGTTGTATCTTCCAGAGATAACACAGCGCTAAATTGTTGTAAGTTGGTATTCTGAACATTGTTTTATCCCTGTGTTATCTCTTGAAGGAACGCCTCTATCTTATCTTTGACCATTGATGACACGTCCATTTTTATGGACCCTACCAATCAAAATCTATTTTATATAAGCATGATAAGTAGGTCAACCAATAAGAATACTTTATACCATATCTGAAGATGCGCCTAGCGCATACTAATCTTGGGCCTAATTAGTTATTTGAGCACTTATTACGTGCGTCATCATTATGCGCTGTTGAATGTGGATCATGAAGACAAATCAAGCTTTCACTATATTGGTTAAGATGAGAGCATTAAAATCGTCATATCCTCGCATGTAATATCGTAGAAAGTTCTCAGTGTGATGTTTCCGGTCAACACACAATCTTATTCTAACTCATCTATTGGCACGAGTTGGTTCTGGGCAAAAAATATTGCCGCCATTATCACCACGAAAGATACAACAATTACTCCCTACCTGTTGTAAATATTGTTGTAAATACCATGCAAGATAAGATAAGATAAAAGATACAACAACTTTCAGAATACCAATTATCTCGACATATTATCTCCCGTGCGCATATGCAAATGAAGATTAAATGCCACTTTATTAATAATATGCACAATTACAAGCGCACCAAAGTATGAGCGCAGGCGCAGCCAATAAGATGAGAGAAAAGATACAACAAAAGATAACACAAAAGTTACAACAGTGTTCAGAATACCAACTTTATCTTATCTTCAAAGATACAACAATATTAGAGATAACACAGGGTTCAGAATACCGCCCCAGGATGCTAAACATGTTTTTGTTTTTTTTGCTTAATGAAACACATTTAACCAATGTTGACTTGACAGGGTAGCATACATTCAGGTCTACCTGCTGGACTATACTCTGCTAAAACCATTTGATATAGATCTAGGCAACCAGGAAGTAAAGGCCGAAGAGCTAGGGCATTAAAATGATATAATCACCATTCACCCTCAAAATGACAGTCCACAGCTAGTGTTCAGGTAAACAAATAACAAGGTAAACAAATGACGAGGAAAACAAATATCACTGCCAGAGATAAACATTCCTGTAAAAAGTGAATACTGAAGAGAAAAACAATTGATTTTAGTGTTCATTTACCAGTGCACAGACACTGCAGTGGTCGCTGACTATGCCAGAGTGCAGAGAGAGCCGACGCGACGGCGACTGGCAATGGCGAAACCCACACCAGCAACGTAGTGGTCGATACACATTACTTGCTAGTAATATCAATGCCATGAATTGCATTTTAGTTTTGATAATCGTACATCGTACTTCGTAGGCATAATTTAACTTCTAAACATTAAGTCAATCACTATGTGCATAATTTACGTCACTGTCTTCCTAAAGTCGTTCAGAAAATTTCCCGCTTACCAAATTATTCGGTGTTTTCTGGTCGAAAGATCAAGAAGGTATCCTCTGATCTTCCGCTCCTGATCCTGCACAGGAGAAGTAATGATTGTATTCTTGTTATATAGACCCTAGTAGATCTATAATGTTTCTAAATCCCGTTGTTATTGACGTTTTTGTCTCGAGATTAAATCAACATTAAGGCTAATGGATTTATTTTCAATTTGTTATTTCTTTTTTTATTCGTTTTTTTTTCAAATCGAGGGACATTGATTTAAATGAGGCAATAAAGCTGATAATCACGTTTGAAGAATATGTATTACCTGTTAAAATGTTTAGATTGCAAGACTAGGTAAGCTGTCATCACCTGATAACCTTGATGGTACCACCTGATCACAAATCAGCTGTACATTTTTACTACAGCTGATGACGCACGCTTCATAATTACCTAGTGTATCATGTTATGTTTATTTGTTTAATTGTTTTACCTAACTGCCTAAGTAAGCTTGTGTATGCTTATAAGCATGGACATAGCCTACATGTACATGTTTGTAAATAAGGAACCAGCAGACCGAAAGTTTAACAAAGTTTTGTTACTTTGCCGGTATTAAGTGTGTAGTCCGAAGGGTTGTAAATATTTATTAGGTACATTTTAGTAAGTAGGCAGGAGTAGAGGGACTTCTTAAAAGAGCATAATCATTTGTGTAGCACTGATCTATTTCTATAACTCTTAATCTTGTAAACATACAGTGTAAACTGTGCTTACGTGATACCAACAGAATACATATTTTCTACAATATTTACTTGTACATGCGCATTTTGAAGGATATTATTCGAGGAAGCGTAGCGACCGAGCGAGAAGATTTTTTGCATTTGTATTAGTTTAAACGCTGCACTCTTGGGCACTCCAGGGCCTAAAAGTGTGTTGCAGTTTTTAGTCAGTATTTGCTATACATTTTTGGTGTGCACTTTTTCAAATTTTCCGGGGGGGGGACGATCCTCCCTAAAACAATTGAGGGGGGACGTGTACCCAGTCCCCCTCTCCCGGGATTGCCGCCCCTGACTCGCACATTTCATTTTCAACTGCAGAACGCTCTAGCTGTGTCCAAGGGGTAAGGGAATAGATCCTCGGAACGTGGGGCATCTCACATACGACATGAGGAAATAATGTGCACAACATCCTCATCGCGAGCGTGCAGTTTGTGACATGCTGTCGTGTGAAAAGCCAGAGAAGGACACAGAAAAAAAACCTCCATGGGTGCGATGTCACATGTGTGGACGTTGGCTCAACCTACTTTGTGTTTTGCTCAAAAAAAGTATCAACAAAAAAGGACTATGTATGCCCTATTTGTGAAGCGACCTATCAGTAAACCTCCATTTTAGGCCACAATCAATGGGCCAGTACCCAAATTTTCACATACATGCATCGGTCTCTTTTTGGATTGCCCCCCGCCTTTCCCCCAAAGAAAAAAGTATTTTTAAATTCTTACATAATGTGCACAATATATATTCAATTCAATTCGATTAAATTCTTTTTATTCATCTAAATTCACAAGAGTTCATGGAAATTTGTTTTGGTCACACATTGTACAAATACGAAATATATATTTGAGAAACTATATCATTAAGGTCAGGCGAGCATATTTTGATACCTCATATTTTGTGACACTGGCAGGTTCTCTTCAACATACTTTTTCAAAACAGTGAGGTGGCCGGGAGGGGGGGCTTGAGCCCCCGATCCGCGGGCCTTGACATGTAGGCTTCTAAATAAGCATATTTTTGGCTGACTATAAATTTGGGAAATTTCCATAAACGCATACAACAGTATAATTTACAAAAAAAGTTAGAAAAACTTTTTTTTTTTTTTGGGGGGGGGGGGGGGGAGGGGTAACTGCTCCCAAGCCCCCATCAGTACGCCAGTGAGCATAGTAATCGAGAGGGGCAAAGGTGACGACACTGACTAACCCCTCACATGTTTTTGAAGTTTTGTTCTATTACAAAATTACTTTCCTTAGCGAAATTATATTATAAAACCAAGCAAAATACCTTTTTTTTTTACACTTCGCTTTTACTTTGCTGGTAATTAGCTGGGCATTCCGAAGGGTTGTTAATATCAGTTTAGGAGGTAAAGTTTAGTATCAGTAGGGAGCTTGGGCATGGATGGGATTTCTATTTCCCACTCTAGACCTGTGTCATATAGCTTACGTGACATGGGAGTTGAAAAGGCAAATATCAGCCTGGTGGTGGTTATTTTACCTGACTGCTAAGAAAGCATAAATGCTTGTTAGTAAGCAACCAGGCGGCCGATGGCTTTAGGTCCTCTCCGAGAGACATGGTAATGAGGATTAATGCCTTACCAAAGGGCTCTAGCGCATCGAACCCGGGTCACCGGATTACAAGACCACTGCTCTAAAATATCAGACTGGCAAATATATACACTTAATATGTTGTAGTTACTCCTTACTGAAAAGAGCAAGCGGAATATTCATTTTTGTAGCACTGATCTATTTCTATAACTCTTAATCTTGTAAACATACAGTGTAAACTGGGCTTACGTGATACCAATGGAATACAGATTTTCTACAATATTTACTTGTATTTTTTGAAGGATATTAATGCGAGGGATGCTAGCGAACGAGCGAGAAGGTTTTTTGTATTTTTATTAGTCTAAACGCTGCACTCTTGGGCCCTCCACAGCTTATAAGTGTGTTGCAGTCTTTAGTCAGTATTTGCTATACCTTTTTGGCACTTTTTCGAATTTTCCGGGGGGACGTGTCCCCGTCCCCCTTGGGATCGCCGCCCCTGTCTACAATTAATGTAGCTAATCACAACCGCTGCTAGCTACACGCCCGAGTAGGTACAGCTCCAGCAATCCAAACATACCGAGAAGAGTAATGTTAGACTCTGCAGTCTCCAGTCATTCGCAAAGTATACTGAAGTGGCTATAAACAGTCTGTTGTGTAAAAAAAATATGCGCGTGCAGGAGCGGAAGAAGATACCTTTTTTTCGACCAGAAAACACCGAAAAGTTTGGTAAGCAGGAAATTTTCTAAACGACTTTAGGAAGGCAACGGCGTAAATTATATACCTAGTGATTGACTTAATGTTTAAAAGTCATGTTATGCCTACGAAGTGCGATGTACGATCAGGGGCGTCGCCAAAGGGGGGGGGGTGTGGGGGTGCGACACCCCCACCTGTCAGGATATTGTCGGTAAAATTGCGCTGCCGTCGGGAAAAAGAGAAAAGGGGGAGGGAAAAAAAGAGAGGGAAAAAAATCAGCCACCTGATTGGTCGAAATTGCAGTCGTGATTTTAGCCATTCTCGTAAAATGCCAAAACCGGTCAATAGTCTTTTGAAAAACGCCAAAGGGCACTTTTCAAAAGACTATTGACCGGTTTTGGCATTTTACGTATATGCGCGTGCAATCTCAATGGGAAGGATTTTAGCACACAAACTCGAGTGGTGCACGATCAGACACCCTATTAAGACTAGGTCTCGATATAGCGTAAACAAACTTGATTACCATGATTGGTAAGTCGCACATGTATTCAATGACCCTTTTCGGTATATAAAAGTTATAATGACTGCTTTACTATTCGAGGCATAGTTGTTTTTATAGGCTCTCGGGGAGGTTACATCGTGCTATTATCCCTCGGCACGCCTTTGGGCGATAGCACGATGTAACCTCCCCTTGAGAGTATAAAAAACAGCTATGTCTCTCATAGCAGTCATTATTACTATTACATCGACCCCCCCCCCCCCCCCCCCCACTCAGGTTTCGAAATGACCGCATGCGTGTTGCCAAAATGTCCGGTAAAGGGGTACTTTTCATGCGACAAAGTCCGGCCCGAGAAATATTAAAAAAGGGGGGTATTTGACTTTCACCCGGAGATTTCTTTAAAAAGGGGTGTTTTTTCTATTTTCCTCTCATCTCTTTGGACTCCTGAGAAATTATTCCGAATTTAGGGGGGTACATTGAGCATTTTTCCTGATTTAGGGGGGTCTCCAAAGCAGGAAAAGCCCGCGAAAAGCCCGCGATAGGGGGGTTCGGAAATGTTGGCAGTCCTCAGATAGGGGGTGCTTTCAAAAAGAGGGAACGAGCATATGCGTACCCTAAATAACACTGAGTGGGGGGGGGGGGGGGGCCGGGTACATCGACCAGTCGCTGTCGCGTCTGCCCGGTGGGGTCACTCCCCTGCAAAGAGTGACACGTATGACCGTTACCACCAATGCATATAACCCCCTTTTGCGGTCAATTTCAAGGACATTTTGTGAAATTTAACCCCCTTTTTTTACATCAAAACAAGGACAAAATCGTACTTTGGAATACCCCTATTTTTAAGATTGTAAGGACACTTTCGCAAATTTACCCCTATTTTACCATATTTCAAGGACAAGACTCGGCTCCGAGAATTTTTCTTCCCGGTTTTCTCTTTTTCCTTCCCGGTTTTCTCTTTTCCCTTTTCCTGACCCCTATTTATCAATTTCGGGGACACCTGTGCACCCCTATTTTCTTTATTTCGAGGAATATTTTGTCCGCGGACATTGCTTGAAATTGACCCCTTTTTCCGCGATTTTGGTAACGGTCATGCGGTCCGGAAGTCACATTGAGTGACCCCACCGGGCGCGTCTGCTCTCTCTGCATCCTGGCATTGCATGTCGGCGACCACTGCACTACAGCAGTGTTTGTGCACTGCTAAATGAACGCTAAAATCACTTGTCTCTCTCTTCAGTATTCACTTTTTACAGGAATGTTTATCTCTGGCAGTGATATTTGTTTTCTTCGTCATTTGTTTACCTGAACACTATGGACTATCATTTTGAGGGGGTGGGACATGGGTGAATGGTGATGATATCATTTTAATGCCCTGTTCGGCCTTTACTTCCTGGTTGTTTTTATCAAATGATATTAGCAGAGTATATAGTCCGGCTGCTCTGGCAGGTAGACCTGAATGTACGCCACCCTGTCAAGTCAACATTGGTTTATAAATGTATTTCATTATGTGGTTCTTTGCATTCTTTCTCTAGATCTCCCATCAGACCTTAAAAAGAAGATAAATATGAAGAGGGTCATCATGATGCTGAGCCTACTTGTGCTAGGGTTACATCTGTCTTTTGTCCGTGCACATCCCCAGTGCCTTGATTTCTACCCACCATTTGAGCTTCCATCAGACAGTCAGCCATTTTGTGATGGTTACAAGGACTTTGGTTGTTGTACATTGACTCAGAATGAAGCCATCCGAGAAAGATACCAGACGCTGAAGAGAAACCTGCCAGAAAGTGCCGCACATGAATGCAGAAACTTCCTGAAGGATATCTTGTGCCAGGAATGTTCACCCTACGCAGCTCATTTATTTGATGCAGAGACTACACATCGTAAGACCTCTCTGCCAGGTCTGTGTGGAGGATATTGCTCTTCTCTCTACAACACATGTCCAGGACTTATTCCCTTAGTGACGGATGATGCAGCAATTATTGATGCACACAATGCAAGTGAGAGCGCATTCTGTGCTGCAGTGGAGATAGGTGATATGGACTACTGCTACCCAAACATCCTTCAGGATACCTTCCTTGATGACTTGGCTTGGGAAGCACGAACTGGTGGAGGGGATGGCTGCCTGTGCTTCGAGGAATTTGCCAATGACTTACGTAACCCTATTCTTGCTGTCAATGCCAACGACAGCACCCACCGTCTCTTCATAGCAGAACAAGTAGGAATTGTCCATGTGTATCTCAGGAATGGGACACGACTCAACGATCCCTTCCTTGACATCCAGGACACCGTCCGGACATCAAGTCGAAGGGGAGATGAAAGGGGCTTCCTTGGACTGGCCTTCCATCCGAACTTTACCAGCAACAGCAGATTGTTTGTGTATTACAGCACTTTATCTTCCTCAGGGTCAGAAATAATCAGGATTAGTGAATTTCAAACCATGTCCAATGACTCCAACCGGGTGAACATGACAACAGAGAGCGTTATCCTTGATGTTGAACAACCTGCTGGTAATCATAATGGTGGTCAGATGCTGTTTGATGATCAGGGTTACCTCTATGCTATCCTTGGTGATGGTGGACGAGGTGGAGATCCCTTTGGGCAATATGGAAATGCCCAAAATTTGTAAGTCATCTCTTTCTGTTAATGCACACATTTCATTGTTTGGCTCTTAGTCAGCTTTTCTCCTCAACTATTAAATACTTTTATCTGTTATATTGTCTTTAATGATACTATACGTCTCATAAACTGGTTGATGTAAGTGAAATTTTGTATTTGTGGACTCATCATTTTAATGTAGTATGCACGTATGTGCACGCCAGTATATAAACCAGAAACTTTCATAACACGAAAGCATTTTTTACAGGAAGAGCCTTTTGAAAATTGCAAAAACCAGTGTTGTGTTGGTTATAATTCCATTATTTCGTGATATGAAACATTTGCAGATCTTATCTAAACCTCTAGTGAAAATCTGTAAGACTTTTCATGCTCATCGTAAGAGTTTCCAACCAAACAGTAAGTGTTTTTAATAGCTCCAGCTTTAATTCGACAGTTAACATACTTATAGGAAATTCTGTATCATAAACCTTTGTGTCTGTTGTGGATTTGTAAGAGATTGTATTCTGCTTATTTTAAATCTGTTTTATTTTTGTAGGGCTGAGCTGCTAGGATCTGTAATCAGAATTGATGTAGATCAGCAACAAGAAGGTCTTGCCTATGCCATACCACCCGACAACCCATATGTCTCGTACAGCAACAGTGAGAGACGTCACGAGATCTATGCCTATGGCACCCGGAACATGTGGCGTTGCTCTATCGACCAGGGCGATAGACAGACAGGGGAGGGAAGAGGGCGTATTTTCTGTGGGGATGTTGGCCAGAGTAGCTATGAAGAGATTGATATCATCGAGAAGGGAGGCAACTATGGATGGCGGGGGAAAGAAGGGTTTTCCTGCTATGATAATACAATTTGTAATTTTCTTGGTAAGAGAATGAGACAGTCTGTGTTCACTTTCATATCCTTTATCAATAAAACCATGATGTGAAAAAGAAAATTCTTGAATGAATCATACCACATAGGTTTAGAATGCAAAATTGCAGGTTGTGGAATGTTTCATAACAGTATTAAAAAATTTATACATACGCTGTTGATGATATTTGATAGATCTCATTGCTTTTTTGTTCAAAGTTAGCAGTGAGAAATATAATATCTGAGTTTGGATAAACCAATAATGATGCCTGTTGGGATCTATTTATGAAGTACCAGTACCACTTCAATATAAACCACTCTGCAACATGATCCTTATTTCATTATTGTAGCATCGAATTATTAATTCGATAAAGATTCTCTGTGTAGCATCTTGACATGTGAATAAATGAAAACCCTGACTGTTGTCATGATACTTTGTTATGACATACTTGTATAGCATGTATGGAGAACTTTCGTTATGAAATGTGACATGATTATCGTTGTAAAAAAACATTATTGTTTTTGTTTTGCAGAGAATGAAGTACTGCCCATCCATGTATACCCTCATACCGTTGGCAAATCTGTGATTGGCGGATATGTGTACAGAGGGTGTCAGTACCCAAACCTTAATGGAAAATACATCTTTGGAGATTATGTATCAGGGTATGTACAAGAATTTACTTCATGTCTCAACAAAATATTTGTTAGACTTTCTTCAGTGCACTTGACTTGTCTTGGCCCTGTTTTGGGAGTGTATGTTTCATAAATTTGATAATTTCTATTTATCCTGCAAATCACTTTATTAATGAACTGTACGTAAAAAGTGAGTTTATGTGACTAAAAGTGACCAAGTTACCATATCTTTTATTCTTCAGATCAGGTCAAGATTTATTGATGAGGCATGTGAACCTCCTGGAGATTAATTATTTCATGGATAGTAGTCTAACGGGATGATCTTCTTTCAAGAATTGAAATGTCTGTTTATTCAACACATTAAACTCTTCTTTTCTTCTTATACTCTTGTATGACTAATAGACGATTGTTTCAATTGAATGAGAACACAACTACCCAAGAATGGAATAGCAGAGAGTTCTGTCTTGGGGACAACACTGTTTGCACTGGGTCTATGCTGGGATCCTTCCCTAAGAATATCCTTTCATTTGGAGAGGATGAAGCAGGTATATTTCCGTATAATTTATCAAATCTTGCATTTTAAATCTTTTGTGAATTGTTAGGGAAGGTTATTTTCAGGGCAAGAAACTTAAATCAACTACAAAAATGGGTATTGTGTCAGTTTGTATGTAATTATTTTGTGGCATGAATCCTTCTTAAATCTGAACTACTTACAAAGTTCATTAAAATGTCATGCATGCAAACGGTTCTAGATTAAAGGTAATACAAAGTTTTGGTATGGGGTCATGAATTTGGTTCAAATGAACATATTGGAAGCATAATTTTATATGCGATCCTACAATATTCAGTGATCGTTGTCGCGGTTGAAATTGAGTCTAAAGATATGCAATTGTAAATAATAAACTCTTTATGTTGTATAGCTCCCTCTCAAGGTCAAGATATTAATTAAGCTATAAAAAAATGTTTCTTCACTAAAATCGACCGATTAGCTATTCCCGTTTGGAAATTATATATCACAACTACATATTCTGAGATTTTCATAGTCGCAGCTATACGTTCGACTCCGTACATGTAGGCGTTATTTGAAATTTATCAAAATTTACCGGGAGTACCGGTAAATTTTTATATTCAATTTTTCTCGAAAGCAGAAGTGTTTTAGGGGCTAAATTTTCTAGTGCTTATGATAAATCCACATCCACCATCCACCCAATTTTCAAAATTTCCCAAAACTTTGTACCTTTAACATTAGCTCAGAAAATTGGCGAGATAACATTCTTAAATGTGAAGAGTGATTTAAGAATGTATTCCAGTGTTAGTTTTGATAGATTCAAAGAGAAACATGAAAGACATCACATATGGTGTGATATACATGTATGCTCTGTCGATAATTGCTCCAAGCTTACTTTGTCAAAAAATACAGGGTTATTAGTATTGCAATTGAGTTGTAGGTTAGGTCTATGGTTATAGAGTTAGGGTTAGGTTTAACATTTAGTCCAAGATTGAACTTAATAATTAGTTAGTGTACTTGATCATGGAGAAGTTTTTGCCAGAGCATGCATGTGTCCTACAACCACATCATTGTCTGTGAAATAAAAGAGAGAAGAAAAAAGAACCTAGATAAATAGTTGTAGGATAAAATTGCTATTTGGTTTTTGAAGGATGTAATTGTTAATATATTCCACATACAAAGAATCTTGCGCTGCGATTGGTCAAAAGTAATTCACGTGATGAAAGATAGTTCGCCCATCATTGATGGTAGAAGAAAAGTTCGTTGCACTGTGTAGATAGTAATACTATCTACACAGAGCAACGCACTTTTACTGAAGATAAAAGTACTATCTGCACAGTGCAACGCACTTTCCTGTATACGTTGCGTATACGTACGTATGTAAATACTGCTTGCACTGTACGTATCGTACACCGTTTGCTAGCTGTTACTTGATGATGTGTTGCTCTGAAATGACGGAAGAAGTGAAATGTTCCCGGTGTGGAATATAAAGCAAATAATAACCTTTTGGTTTCAGGCGATGGCAAACTATCACTTCCTCAGCGATCTGAATGTATACGCTATCTTTCCTCAGCTTCCCTTCGGAAAGATAGCTACATCCAGATCGCCTCGGAAGTGATAGTTTGTCCCATCACCTTCATCAACGGTAATTATTTGCTTAATATCGTTGATAAAACACAGTATGAGCCTAAGACAAATGTAAATTTGATACAACTTTGTACATGGTTATGTATTATTCTTTTAATATATCTTGATGTAGGTGAGATGTATCTTCTCTCAACTAGTGAGGCGAAGACCACTGTTCCTCAAGGGAAAGTATTCAAAATCGTTGATCCTCGAAAGTAAGTATTCCTCTTTGAACACTTGGATTTTATTTCTTGATGTTTGTGTTATGCCTATGACGTTATTTTGATTTTAATTAGAAATATGTCCTTGTCTTTACGGTTATCAAATATTTGACACATGTCCTTCCCAACTGTCACTAAAGATGTCTTGAATGACCATCTAATTTGTTTCTGATAACAATTGTAGCTAAATATTCCTTGAAAATGCTAGAGCGCCGTTTGGCACCCGTGCTAAAGCCAGGACAATAATCGGGAGCGCCAGGAGGGTCAAATCCAGCCCTGGTCAAATCTGACTGACATGAGCGCTATACAAGAACCCACTATTATTATTATCATTATTATTGTAATAACTAGATAGATTTTAAGGGCAAGCATTTGAAAAATGTCACCAAAGATATTAATTCAGCTATCATGGTAAAGATAATAGCTACAATTCTATTGTGAACATAATAAGGGAACCCTCAAGGTGCCAAGAAAGAAGTAATTTACCCTGCCTGTAGCCAAGCTTCAAGGACTTTCTACATGCCTGATACCCATTATCTACCCCTGGGTTGAGAGTGGTAAATGTAGATCACTGTCTTAATAAAGGACATGAGGCCATGTCAGGGACTCAAACTGTCAAAAAATAGATCCACTAGACAACCAAATCTTTATTAGTACTTATTCTAATCATGGCTGTTAGTCTATGATAGTGAAGATGTAAGAAAGTTAAACTTTTTATTTAAATTCAATGCAAAAGTTTAACCTATTATTTATTACATAAGAAAGGTCAAGTTGGGTCATATTGTTGTCCAGGCTGTAGCTGAACAGCTAAAAATTGTTGAGGTACAGATTTTTGTATCGAGAACAAAAACTTTCAAATAAATCATTATTCCTGTAGTAGACACCAGCCTAATTAAAGTAGGAACAGTTTATTGTATAGCTCGTATCACTTAAAGCTGATTTTCTGACACTTCTTGTCATAGGAGAGGAAATCCTGAGGAGTGTCTCAAGGATATCAGAGACGTTGATGTCCATGGTCCTACCACACCCTTTGATGTTCATGGTTCTACCACACCCTTTGATGTTCATGGTTCTACCACACCCTTTGATGTCCATGGTCCTACCACACCCTTTGATGTTCATGTTTCTACCACACCCTTTGATGTTCATGGTCCTACCACACCCTTTGATGTTCATGGTCCTACCACACCCTTTGATGTTCATGGTCCTACCACACCCTTTGATGTCCATGGTCCTACCTCACCCTTTGAACCATCACCCTCAGGTAATGTCACATGTGCCAGAGGAAGGGGATGTCTGGTCCATACAAGGATACCCTCAGTGCATTATAATTTTGGTGCAAATACTAAGCATAGGGAATTTCAGAAGAAAAAAATACCTAGGACAAGTTCTAGTGTATTGATAAATGTAATAAATATGTCAGTGCACACTTTAAACTTTCAAAAGTGATTTGGTCCTTCCTAGTCTCCCCCATGTAAACGCTGCAATTTTGTTTTCACTCAAAACGCACTAAGGTTAACCAATATCCTATTGAGTAGCCTTTTGTACTATCCTTATGTACTAGCCTATCCTATTTTAGATTCAATATCTATATCTACATTTTTGTTAAAGATGATATCATATTTATATTTCTGGCTCGTTGGAATCACTTGATGATGATACAGATTTCCATGTTAATTCTCTAAATGGTATGCCAAAGGTAAATCATTTTAATTAGCTGTGTAAAATCGCAATCCGACATACATTTTAAGGTCATCTTTATTGTCTATATTGAAATGTTCATCCTGTGCAGGTGTGCATCCAAACTTTCCCATCTCTGCTCTGTTCATTCAGAATAATGATGTTATCCTTCATTATGATTATTGACATTCCAACTGCATCATCACCTTTTCAGTTGTTTTATTTCCTTCTGATTGCATAAACATTAAAAACTTGAATTGAAGAAGAAACAAAATAGACTCAAATGCTGATGTGACATTGTTAAATATAACATTGTTAGTTTGCTATGAAAGAATGTACCTTAATGCTTTTTACTAATGATCATGAATGCCTTGATTTTGAGTGTGACCTTACCCTTTTTTAGGATGCATGAAATGTAGACTGGCATTATTTAAGTTAAAGATGAAGACAAAGAGTTCTATGAAAAATAGAATGTAGGTAGTAAAGAGTAACCACTATATTGTAACAAATACTAGCATGCAAGTTCGATTAACATGTTTTTGTGTTGGATAATTATGATTGTTACACTTGATTCTTCTTAATGTGATTAACACCTTTTTTTCCCCTTTTTTTTTCTTCATTGCCTTCAAACAAAAAGTAGTTATCTAAGTAAGACTGTTTGGAGATTTCATGCTATTTTGGATCAAAATAACTTCTTTGTTCTTCTCGGCTTATCTGCTGTATTATCTGTTTGCTATCATTTTACACACAAAAATTATTTAAAAATTAATATGTGCTTTTACTTCATTATTATAATTAAAATCTAAATCCTCATTAAATCCAGAACCAAGTGTAAAAACATAGTAAAGTATTTACACAAATAAACACTGTCTTGTGAGGTTCTGCTTAAAAGTATGGGCAAGAGGTGACTCCATTAGTACAATTTGTTTTAAGGGCGCAGCTCCGAAGCAAATCGTCCTATTAGAGTCATCGAGGCCAGTACCTCGAAAAGAAGGCAGGGTATGTTTTTTTTATATTCTGCATCCGAAAGAAAAAAAAACAGTATTAAAATTTGTCTGGATAATACTTGTTTCCTTTAAAAAAAAGTGTATTAAACATTTTGCAATTTGAATAAACTTCATCCAAAAAAAAATCAACTCCCAAGTAGTAAACCCAAGTAGTACTTCTCCTCCCAAATAGTACTCCCAAATAATACTTTTTCAGAGCAACCTTAAATTGGTTGAAATATTTCTGGTCACATGACGAGCTCTCATAAAGAACCAATATTTTGTTATGCAGGATATAATTTTAAAAAAATAGCTTGCATGCTAATGGTCATTTTCATCTTCCTTCAGCTATTTCTTCCACTGTCCCTACTACAGGAAGTGCAAAATGTGTGACCCTGCATCCTTCACATTATATGGTTATGCTTTGCCTAGCTCTGCTCTCCCATGTTTGTATACATCATCTACAACGTTAGGTGAGTTTTCCAGACTAGTGGAGATGAAGGCTATGTTTATTTTTTGTTTTAAATGTTTATGATGAAGAAATAACATTAAGTAGCACTCCCTCTATTGTCTTTTCATTTTACTTCAGGGCCATGTTTTTGGAAGAACTTTTCTTCCAGGGATGCCATTTACCTGGTTTTAGTCTTATCATTATTCTATGTCAAGCTGTTACCTCTCCATATATGTTTTTTTTTTGGGGGGGGAGGGGGGTCAACAGGATAATTGAGTAAAACCAACTGAAGTCCCTCTTTAGTGGTATGAAATTCAAACCTGCAAAGAATTTGAAAAATTCTAGGGAATTGAAATAAAAAGAGTTTGATTTCACAATAATGGATCCAAATTCTATGCTTTACCATTTTGTTATCAAACCACATTTTTTTGCAGTGATAACAGGTACAGTCCGAAAGGCGCAGCGCTTTAACAATGAACTGTGCCTCACTGTCTATGTTGATGAACTCCACAAGAAGGCATACGACCTCCCTGCCATACATGCAGGACGAAGGATCTCCATCTCGCAGTACTCTCGATCTGGTAGCTGCCGATGTCCAAACCTGGAGGTGGGACAGACCTACTTCATCCTTGGCGACTTCAAGTCGTCTTGGCAGAAGTTAATCCTGAAAGAGTCTTCCATTGTTAAACGCTATCATTGGCACCACTCCTCCATGATCCCTCGACTGAATAAGGAATGCAGGGCTCTTAGTCTTACTATGAAACTCTTTACCAAGCAATTTAGTTCAATATACTTTTTAACAAAATTATATATAGATGTAAAAACAGATCTGTCAAAAAAATATGAGAAATGAGATTCATATTTGCAGGTGAAGACAATATCATGGATTTCTATATAATTACACATTGTAAAAAATCAATGATTTTGTGTTATTCATATAAGAATAGGATATTGAAAGTCATGAATAATTTAGGTTGTTTTTCAATACAAAATATTTTCTTTTCCATAAAATTTCCGGGATGTTTTTCTTAACAATTTTTCAATGAACTATTTCAACACTTTCAAATTAATTGTAACTTCAAAGGTACTTTAAAACACTAAAATAGATTGTGCATAAACCTACCTCCAGATAGTTGAAAAGAAAACATGACCAAATTCTTAAACAGTGTGATCATTTTTATTATAGATAGATGCCCCTTGATATTCTCTCTTTTCTAAGTGTATTTACAAAATGTTCTTTGATGAAAACTGCCACAGTTATCTTCTTGGTGGATGTACAGTCTACAGAGCTAGGTTAATTATAATTCATGGTTACATCAAAAGTTAGATTGTACCTTGAAAAAACTTTTTAGTGCATTACTCTGCTCTTAAAATTGAGGTAAAAATATTTATATAATATTGGATGGCTTTGAGTGTGATACAAGAACATATTGTCATAGCGAGAGCAATATATTATTGTATCACACAAAAACAAAGCCATACAATATTATCATTATTATCTATATCAGGCTGACTAGCGAAATAACACAATTTGGCTTACCTCGGTAAATATGGCTTTGTTTTCGTTTCGTTTCAAGGTTGAAAGTTCCCGGATGACTGAGCAATACGAAAACAATATTGGTCAGTCATCCGGCTACTGCGCTAAAGATATTGAATACACTGATTTATTGTACCACTTGGAAGCCTTACATAGATAATAATCAATATTACCATATTCTTACTGTTACAAATTTCATGAATATTACAGGACAATCCAACCCTTGTAATAGGTTGATTTGTATAAAAGCAGAAAGATAACAGAAACAGAATGGCAAAAGTTTGAAATGAATCGGATCAATAGTAAGGAAGTTATGAATGTTTGAAATATGAGATCACTTCAGTCTATCCGAATCTCAACTTAGTAGTTTGGTTGGTGGATTGTGACGTAGGACGTGGATCACTCTCCCAGTTGCCATGGAAAAAATATCACTAATCTCTGTTTTTCTCGTAAGATCCTTCTCCTTTGGGGGATTTGAACCCAGGACCTCTCATATTTTTTCGACAACAAAAACTTTATCATTTTATGAAAGTACTTGTGTATTGCATTAATATCACAACTCAGTTTAATTCTACTTTGCATTGAAGCATTTTCTTTGTTTAATTGGAACACATTTTTTTTTTTCTTCACCTTTTTAAGGTTTTGTCACTGCCTATTAACTATTACTGTCCCTGATCTGGAAGAAATTAGATTACTGAAATAGACTATAAATGTTATTGAATTATATAAAATATGTTATATAAATTAGAATATTATCTGTAACTTATTAATCCATTAGCTATTCAGGAACCAGGTTTTTCATGTACTAAGCAAATGGAATTGAGACAATGTAGTAAGCAATGGGTTAAAATAAGATAAAATGTAGGTCAAATGAAGTCTCGTGTAGTAGTATGGAATTTGTCTCGTATACGGTATATGGAGAAAGATTTCCTATATTTTCTTTCAGGAGGTACTTTTGCTTGATGTGAAGATCTAGTAATCTAAAATTGTATTGTTTATAACATTTACTGGCATTTCATTATTGATTGATTAATGAGTTAATCAATCTTTTTATACATGTAGTTTAAACCAGTACCTAAAAATTTGGGAAAGTTTTTGTGCTTTCAATTACATTGAAATTATTTTAGTTCTCTAAAGATGTTTGTAATGTAAGAATAAAGTGTACTTATGTTTCTCCACTATTTTTATATCAGACATTTGTATGAGATAATAAAGTATATGTTTATTTAGGAGAATAGATGATTGATATTGTTAAGTTGTTAGATAACATCACTCAGTTTGATTTGATTGGAGATATCTCAGTATAGGCTATAATAGTCTCAGACAAACCTACACCATTAAACTTCAAGTTAACTCACACATGATATATTGCGACACTTTCAAGGCTACTTATTATTTCAAGTTTATGTATATACAAACGGCAACAGCTTCAATGTTAAATGTTTCTTCTCACTTAAATCATTGGTCTGGAAACAATTATTTTCCCATTGTTGTATATTATACAACACTTTCCATAACGATGAATATACATTGTAATGTAATTTTCAGGAAAACCATACTTGTCATGTGTTATATTTTGTTATATGATACTAAACCAAATCGTTACGCTTATCGATAGATAATGTGAAGTACGTGTCAATTAATAACATCATTACGTGCTATTATTAACCGGACTAGACATTAAAAATTGTAAAAAATGTATACACTATTGCTAGCAAGCAAGTTTTTCAACAAAGAATTCAGAATTTGAACAACATTTTACATTTTAGTCAGGACAGATTAGAAGATGCTTTCAAGCATGCCCTACACTCTTAGTTGGACTGTAACAGTTGTCTTCTAAAGTCTTCCATAATATATATAAAGGAGGCCCATAATCATTATGAAAACACCACTTTCGTCAGGATGACACATCAATATATATTTTGAGGACACATGTAACACTTTGAAAAAAAAAATTCTTTGGGGGACGGCCGGGAGTGAGGCAATCCAGAAAGGGACCGATATAATTATGAACATTTGGGTACTGGCCCATGGAATGTTGCGTAAAATACAGGTTTACTGATAGGTCGCATCACAAAAAGGGCATACATAGTCCTTTTTGTGGATACTTTTTTGAGCAAAACACAAAGTAGGTGGAGCCAAAGTCCACGCACGTCACATGGAGGTTTCGTGTCTGTGTCCTTCCCTGGCTTTTCACACGACATAAATTATTTCCTCATGTCTTTTGCGAGATGCCCCATGGGGGGGGGGGGGGGGGGTAGTCACTTCTTCCGTCACTTCCTCCCATTGCACTGGCGTACTGATGGGGGGGGGGGGGGGGGTTCATAGACTATGAAAAATGATCTAGGAATGCCGGGCTGAAGAAAAAAAAGGCACAATTACGTGTCACACGAAACCAAAATTTCCATACATACATACATTGTTTTGTTTGTTATGTTGCCTAACAGACTGACGTGTTTGTTATTGCTCTCCAAGTTGCATGTTATATTTACTGGATTTATGTACTTGTGTGAATATAATGCATACTTTCTTGTTGTATTATGTGCAGGGATATTTTAGAGCCGGTTCTGTGCGGTAATATGCTGTATTTATTTCTGGTCCCACTATTTGGAATAGTCTCCCTTTAAGCATTCGTTCTTGCACCTCAGTCACATCATTTAAGAGACATTTAAAAACTCATTTGTTTTCTTTGTAATTGTCATTTTTTAGAGTGTAATGCACTTGGAGATTATATAACTATTATGTTTGTATTTTAAAATGTAAAGCGCCTTGAGCATGTTCATGTAAAGGCGCTAAATAAATACCAATATGTATGTATGTATGTATGTAGGGGGTACCAGTACCCCCCCCCCCCCCCCAATAAAATCAAACATGGTTTATTTCTAATTTGGTACCAGCAATATACAAATGTTGCTAAAATGGCATTATTTTCCCCTAGGCTCCCGGGACTCTACCCCCTGGACCCCACCGAGGGCCCTAAGACGGTCCCTAAATGCTCATCAGTCTGATCGTAATTTGATGCCTAAAACCCCTGAGCTTCTGGGAGCGCCGCCCCTAGACCTCACTCCAAATTAGTGACCTGCCAGTATCACAAATAAGGTATCAACATATGCTCATATGACCGTTATTAAATGCCTAAAGAACCCCTGAGCTTCATGGCGCTTTGCCCCTGGACCCCAAGCCAATTTTAGCTCCACTTGTTTTGCTCGCTTTGCTCTACCTGATCGTAAATACTTGAGCCCCCCACACCCCAACGTTTTTGCTCATTATGCCACTGGTCCCTCTTGCTCACTACGTTCCCTCGTCCCTCGCATTTCGTCCCCAGGCCATTAAAAGAAATCGCCGCCCCTGATTGTAGGTGTTTGAAGCCCTAATTAATTGGAGAGCCAGCCAATCTATCCCTTTTTCTGTCGTCATGTATTTCTTTGTTTTTCCTTCAATCTATCCTCTTCTCTTTCGTTATGTCTTTGTTTTTCCTTCAATCTATCCTCGTCTCTTTCGTTATGTATTTCTTTGTTTCTCCTTAAATCTATCCTCTTCTCTTTCGTCATGTATTTCTTTGTTTTTCCTTCAATCTATCCTCTTCTCTTTCGTTATGTCTTTGTTTCTCCTTAAATCTATCCTCTTCTCTTTCGTCATGTATTTCTTTGTTTTTCCTTCAATCTATCCTCTTCTCTTACGTTAGTCTTCGTTTCTCCTTAAATCTATCCTCTTCTCTTTCGTCATGTATTTCTTTGTTTTTCCTTCAATCTATCCTCTTCTCTTTCGTTATGTCTTTGTTTCTCCTTCAATATATCCTCTTCACTTTTTCGTAAATATGTCTTAATTTGCTTTTTCTTCAACCTATATCCTTTTCTCTTTCGTCATGTAGTTCTTTGTTTTTTCTTGAAGTCTTTCGTCTATGTCTGATCGTCAACGAAACGGAGTTAAGTCTTTTGTCAATTCCGTTTGTTGCTACGGCAGGCAGCCAGTGAAAACGAATTCGTTTAATCAAATTATGAAAATGCAAGGATTGCAAGCATCACTTTAAACGAACAGAACTTTGTTATTCCTGGCTCATTTTTCCTGATGGAGGTGTCATATGAAAGAGCAGAAAATTAACTTTTTAGAAATGTGAATTTTTCTTCGAAATTCAGATACCGCCCGCCAAATGACTTTTTGGTTTCTCCTTCCTTCAAATTGCTTTTAATCACTCATGCGGAAATATGCATCATATGAGTTACATCAAATGAAAGAGGAGGATCTAAGCTTTACAAATTTGTGTCATTTATTAAATATAATTGTGATCAAGTTATGATAAAACATCGATAATTCTCGGTTTCGTTTTTTCTGGGTCGCACTGTACATACATTATTTATATTACTTATGATACTGGCTGATTGCTTTCTATCTCGAGATCATTAATATCTTGGACTTGACAGAAAGATAAAGAGAAGTGTATAACAATCTCACAACACTTTTGAGCTATACATGATTTATTGTTATCTCTCATTTATCATGAAAATGATTTTCATCGCCAACAACATCAACCACTTTATTAGTGCAGCTACCCCCCCCCCCCCCCCTCAGTGATCTTTCTCTCTTTCCCACACTCCCCTCTTATTTCAATCAATCTCTGTCTCTCTCTCTCTCTGTATCCCAGTCTTCCCAACTCCCCTCTTGTGGCCCTTCTCTTCCATTTCTGCCCCATGCATCCCTCACTCTCTCTCTCTAACACACGCCATTAATGTCATAAGGGAATGAAATATGAAATAAAATGGACCATGTGTTCTCTCTCTCTCTAACTCCTTTCGTCAAGCTTCTCTGTCTCCCATTCATTTATTCATAAGTTCCTCCATCTATTTCTCTCTATGATAATTACTTCTTTTTCAAAATTTATATTTTAATCTTGCTAATTGCATAAATGGAACTATCATCTATCTTTTCCCTACTGCTATAAAAGGGCGGAAATCATTATGCCTCACATGAAATAATAGACAATCAGACATATTTGTTGTTAAACCTAATTTATTGTTTCTACAAATTGGTCACTCAAGGTGTACACTAACAAGATGGCATGGTCAAATTATCTCTCAAGCATCTTTTCCAAGATGGATTTTTTTTAGAAATTACTTGTATCTATTCTATATTATTATATTTTTTTTTGCAAAAACTGAACAAAAATAATAAGTATTTAGCACAGATTTGTATACAAATACTAACTATTGTAAAATGATGTCAACAAGTACTACGTACACATTCACACATGAATAATGATATAATTCATGTAACTCACATGTTTTTCATAATTGTAATGAAGTAATTACTTCTTCTATAATGATTCTATTCAATAAACCGCTAACAATAAGAACACATTTATCAATGACTTGTCTTACTATGACTTGTCAATATTGATTATGAATGTCCCAAATGGTCAATCAGTAGATGTGACATCATTGCAGTTTCATTTAAAAAAAGAATGGAAACAGGAGTATGCAATGCCATGTTTGATCCCATGGAATAAATATTTCATGCTAAGTCTTGTCATAAAACAAAATTTAAAACTCATAATGTGACTTTCATTAGTAGTAATCGTTTGTAAAACATGTTAGCACGGAATGAGTTATGTACAATATAAGTATAAGCCTCCATTGATCATATGACTTTCTCTACAATTTTTGCCTAATCCTAAATCAACCAATAGAAAATACCAAATGAAAGTACACATTATTTGTTTAATTTAGATTCGAACAACTACTTGTAAATTAATCTTTACAATCTATTATAGAAAACCTTATATGATTGTCAAATAGAATTTTCAATTTAAAAAAACCCAACTCATTCACAAGGTAAAATCAATTGTAAGCATCTTTCTGCCTCTAACCATCTTAAACTTACCCAAATAATCATTTAAAAATATTGAATAGTCATCTGGGATGTTTATAAAAAGTCTCATCTTTGATAACATATTCCAGTAAGAAAATATAAAAAGTAGCCTCGGTAAATATAAAAGAGAAAAGTGAACGGAGAAAGACCCTGCTATATTCAGCACTACATAACTACATAACATCTTCCTCTTAAACTAACTGAATATCAACCTCTGTTTACACAATTTGCATCAGCTGTTGTAAATATTATAACATAAATATATGCAAAGTAAAAAGTATCTACAAGAGGTAATTGAATATGATGAAATATTAGGTATCACACAAAAGGTTTGGTTGAAAATAAGGTCACTTGAACAATCGCCAACTTCTGACATGAATAAACAAAAAACGATAAATAATTCTTGCAAATTTTGAGACTTGTGTACAATAATGAGCAAGTCTCAAGCCTCACATGTAAGCAATACTTTTGTCCTGAAAATGTAATGATGTTTGGAATTCAATTGATGAAAATGTAAATGAAACTTGCCTAAAACCTGCAGAACATCATAGGACCACGTCAAATACAGACGAGACAAAGCAAGGTACATGTATCTGCAAATGAGTATATTCATAAGTAAATTTTGTTTTCTAAAAACTATCAATGTTATTAATATCACGCTGATAGGCTTATAACATACTATGAGAAATATCTTTATATCATTTGATCAAAAGTAAAAAATTCATTTAATATGATAGCCACACAAATGTAAACTATTTTTCAGTTTCTAAGACAATTCTAGCACCAGAGGAGTAAGCCTATAGTTTTATTTATGAGTTCTTGTATAAAAATCTGTTAAGAACAGATTCAAACATCTCAAGTAAAATGTAAAAAGTTAAAGGTAATGCAAAGTTTTGGAAAAATTTTGAAAATTGGATGGATAGTAATTCTTTAAAATGTTGATATATTTGGATGCCCCTGTGGATGTATTTATAAGCACTAGAAAAATTTAGCCCCTAAAGCACTTTTGCTTTCGAGAAATTGAATGATCAACATTTTTTTTGGCAGAACCTTATTTCAAGTTTTGTTGTCATTAACAATTGCTAAACCTATACTATTTCTATCCTTGGTGTTCTGAATTAATGCCCACATTAATATATCATTTAAGTAATATATTGATATTATCGAAAATATGAAATCATTTTAATTCACATATTATCAAAAAATACTTTTTCAAACTGATGCTCCTCCAGAAAATATATACTGATGAGAAGAAAAAGCACAAGCCTCTTATCTATTATCAATGGGAAATTTATGTTTGCAGTATATTTGGTAAAATATCTCATGTATCAAGCTTCTACAATTGAAATGCGACACCAAAACAATATCCCAGGGGGTAACTCCCAACATGACTGGCTATGCACTCACGTCCAGAAAAAGTGTTGAAAGTGTGTCTTTTTCAGCTATACGGTGGCATCAACGTTTTCCTTAAAGGGGATGTTTTCCAAGCACCGATCGCACAAAACCCACAAAAAAAGGGTACCTTTTCAGATTCACAAGTTTGGCGTCGTTGACGTTTTCCTTAAAAAGAGGTGTTTTTCAAGCACTGATCGCACAAAAACCAATAAAAGGGTACCTTTTCAGGTTCAGAGGTTTAGACGTTTTCTTTAAAAAGGGTCATTTCAGAAAAGGTGCGATATGCCATTAGGGTCCATTTCAGAGGTTGATGGACATGGGTGGGTATGAGAGTGACCCCCCTGTGAACAATAAAAAGCCTCTACTAAAGCCTCTGCATTAAACTTTACCATAGAAAAAAGAAAGCAGCCAATTAACTCATTTTATATCACACAACACAAAATACTTGTTAGTTTTGAGAGATCATTTCTCAAAACATGAATTATATAAATTCCACCCATGGTGGGTATTTTCTCATGTGCATTTCAAAAACAGGAGTTTTCGAACAATTTTACATAGCATAAAATGAATTTGTCAATAATAAGTTTGAATAATTGGGGTATATAAGCGAATATGAACGCAATAAAAGAAAGGAGTTTCAATATTTAATGTACTCATTGCAGATACTCATATCCTTTAAAAACTAGCCTATTTTCTAGTTCGTAATATCAAATTGTGCAAAGGTTATTAGGATTTCTATAGACATAACACTGTGAAGCTGCCAAGTGAATCATTTTTCTTCTTCAAGTTGTGCTTTTATACACCAGTAAGGAAATAGTACTTGCATTATGCATATACCCACTAAAAAAAGTGAAATATCAAAAAAGTCTTCAAAGAAAAGGATACTTAAATTAAGATAGCATGAAAAATACATTGCAAACCAAATTCAATATGCTGATTTCACCACTATTCTTTCACTTCCAAGGTTTCAAAACATTTTTCTAGTATTTGTTTCTAGTATTTGTAAGTCAGTCAGATATCAACTAAGAAATCTAGGTTTTATTAGGAAATACTTAAGTCGTTCGACCACAGAGAAACTTGTACATGCTCTTATTTCATCACGCTTAGATTTCTGTAATTCTATTCTCTATCTACTCCCTAACACACAACTTTCTCGACTTCAGAAACTGCAAAATACTGCTGCACGTATTGTCACACTTTCTTCTCGTAGAACCCACATCACCGCCATTCTCAAAACTCTTCACTGGCTCCCGGTATGCGACCGAATCATTTTTAAGTTGTTGTTAGTTTTCCATTCATTGTATGACTCTGCTCCATCCTACAATATCAAGTTGATTTTTAAGTATAAGCCTACAAGACGTCTTCGTTCATCTCAATCCTCCTTATTAGTTGTCCCTAAGACGCGCAGTTCCTGGGGGGATAGAGCTTTTTCTCATTCTGGTCCGTCCCTTTGGAATAAGCTGCCACTTAGTATTCGTAATTTAACTACCCTTCATGCCTTCAAAGTTGCTCTAAAAACCCATCTCTTTCTAAACAGTGCTATTTAATCATGTTAATGTAGCGTAATAATTTGTGTTGTTTTAGTTTACTTTATTTTAGTTAAGAATGTTATATTTTTGTGATAATAATACATGTATGTACAGCGCCATGAGCGTCAGAGCCTGGCGGATACCGGCGCTATATAAATATCCATATTATTATTATTATTATTATTATTATTAATATGCTTGTTCAAACTGTTACCGATTAAGATTATTTTGCAAGATTGTCTTCATGCCATATATACTTCAATAACATGACATATTAATTTCAAATTTAGATTTGGTGTTGCACCTATCGGAAGTATCCAATCCAACACACTTTTTGACACATTAGAAATCAAATCACTGGAATTGTACACCGCAACTTTCTGATTATGGTGTGTTTCTATGGAAGCGTGTACCTGGAAAAGGCCGGAAAGTAACTGTATTTGTAATCCTGTAGAAACATGCCATATAATCAGTATCTAATCCTGACCATTCAATACTGTATTCATTTCTACGTCTTTATCGACATTTTCTTCTCCTCCATTCCCATTCAGCTTTCCACGGCTGTCGTCACTTTCCATCTCTCCCCCTTCTTTCTCTTGTCCTTGTTTCACGAAAACCTGGGCTTTCTCCGTCTTTTCTGACAGCCAGTCAGTCATCTTGGAGATGATAGTTGCCATGACAATGAGGCCAAAGAATATCCACAGGAGACTGAACCATTTGTAGACTACAGTGTATGGGATATCTGAGTTTGTCCCTGGAAAAAGACAAAATAAAGAAAAAAATATACAGTCAAAATTTGTGTTGATATCATTCACATATTAACATAAAGAAGTGAATAAATAGCACTACTGTACACTTTTTTTAGGGGGCTTCCCCCTCCCAAGAACCACTCCAAAATTGTCTGACATGCCCCCCACCCCAACACAGACAAAAAAGGAGCTCTTAATATTTTGGGAACTCCAGAATAATCTGGTGCCCCAAATTACTTCCTAGTTTATTGATAAAATGTCAACATTTTACAGACGTGGCTGCTACCGAACCAATGCAAGACTTATCCAAACCATAAATAGCTCCACCTAGAGTTTTTTCTTCAACACTTGTATAGCTATTTCATATACAGACTTTTGCAAGTATGACTGAAAATCAATTTTGAAACCATGCATAGCTAACACTATAGCTATTTCATATATTACCTGTAAGGTTGCTCTATCCTTTTAAAACTATGCTCAGTTAAAGTATGACACATGTTTTTCCTACATACCAACCAAAATTGTTTTATTATTCAATCCACAGCTTATCATATACACATATTCAGAAACTATATGCTTTAAAATAATAACATAATATTACTTTATCACAACCAACAGACCCATTTTTTTCTTGACATGGTTGGTATCAAGTAATTTATGTTTTCATTTACACCATTCATTGCTCTTTACATTCACTCATATCTCTACATTTATCTCTTTCTGTGTTCAACTGTTATTTCTCTTTCTCTCTCTCTCTTTCGTTTGTTCCTTTCTTTGATTTCTAAAGATTAAACTACATGGTTCTACACCCTGTATATCGGCTTACTTTTATTCATCGGTTCATCCTTTTCAAAAGAGTTTCCATTCTCATTTTTGATACTCTTTCCCCCTTATATATCAGATATATACTTTTTTTTCATCAAAGTCTAGGTGGTTCAAAGTCATTAGATGGCTAGAGGCTATATGACAATTAAGCCAGAACTGTAATTTCATGAAATTATGATACTGTGAGAAAACACAGTACGTGACTTAAAGTGGAATGTGTGAAAAACTTTCCTCTCCATATCTTCCAGACTCATCACTCCTGCATTGATTTGGTCAATATTTGCTCATGAAGCGTGATACTTCTATACATCTTGAATCACACATCTACCATTTGATTGCCAAGAAATGTCCATCACATGAATGATCATATAAAGACTAGCCTATTCTCTAGTTTGTAATATCAAATTGTGCAAAGGTTCTATCTATCTAAGTATCTTCTCCCGGTTCGGAGGTTGATTGCAACATCTCTCCATTTCATAATGCCTATCAAAGGATTTCTATAGACACTATACACTGTGAAGCTGCCAAGTGAATTATTGTTTTTCTTCAAGTTGTGCTTTATAATTACCAGAAAGGAAATATGTACTTTTATTATGCATATCCTCACTTATAAAGTGAAATATCAAAGAAGACCGTCGGCCGACTGGCAGAAGGGCGTTAGCGCGCGAGCGACTCAAAAACTACTCTTTGAATTATTCGCATTTAAAGATTTGTTTTATATTTAAACTGCTTTCCATCCCGAAAATTGATTTCAAATTTTAAAGACTAATAGAAATGTTATAATAGAACACGGCCACAATTTTTTTCTCAGAAATAAGTCAGTTTTATAAAAGTTTGAGGCAATTTAGTGCTAACACCCTTCTGCTTAACGCTTCATATTTGACCCGAAGTTCGAGCTAACGCCCTTCTGCCAGCTAGGCGACGAAGTTTTCAAAGTTAAAATTTGTCTTATTGACCATCATGATGTTTTTGGTCATTTTGGCCGATCTTACCATTATGGTCACTTTTGGTCAGGGGTGATCCTATCATTAATATCAGCAAAAGAGATTTAATTGGCCTATTATAAAATTATCATTTGCATTGATATTTTGTCGAAAATCAGGCCAAATTTTCACTCAAAAGCAATTGATGGGTGGGTTTTGACATCCAAATTTAATATAAAAATGTGTGCTGATATCAGAACAATCAATCCAATTGAATGAATTCACAAAATTCGAACGACTTTGGTCATTTCGATCGGTTGCTAGCATTTTGCTGCTCTCGGCACTGGATGAAAGAAGTCGACCCGCGAGCTGAAAATAAGACTGTTGCAGTGTCGCGACTTGCTGGTGGGGGCGCTGTTAATTGTGAATCCACCCTATTACAAATCATTAGAAATAAAGTCAAATTTACCTAATGTAGTAAATCAAATTTATGTGTCATGGTCTATAGAATATCCACTTGCTTACCCTTAGAGGAAAATGTACTGGAAAAAAAACTTAGAACAAAAGTGTTAAATCACTATTTAAAATGGGCCAATAAGTGACTATTTTTAAAGGTAGATGATATAACATACTAGATTCAACCTTTATAGAGTTGTATCCAGCATGTTTTAAGTGTAAATCTGCCTTTGAAAAAAATTGTCACCCATCGGTCCTTTAGTTTGTGATTTAATAGTTTCGTTACAGAATGCACTACTTTCAACGGAAGTGTTTTAATTTCATTTGATTACCATATGCACACACATTTTCTAGCACCTGAAAAGTGACTTCATATTGACACTTTTTCCCCTGACATTGACATTCAAATTATTCAGAGAACTACAATTAAATATGTAATATGATAAAAAGATAGGTTAGAAGCATAATGGATCATGCACTTGCCCATAGGACTCAAATCGACAGACTTTCCAGTGTAGTGTTCAAATACACTTAATACAGGATGGAAATTAATGTGTGTTTATTGTATATCAACCTGTCAAAGTTCTACAAGGTATTCTAGCCCCAATCCATCTTGTTGACTCTGCTTCTGATGACACATTAGAAGGAAATCAATTCTGATTCGATAGTTTCATTTTCCTAACATTCAAACAAATATTTCACTTATACTAAGGAGATATATGTCAAGAGAGAATAGAGAGCTAATACTTTACACAAACTGAAAACTTTACTATGTATTTGCAGCACCAACATGAGTCATTATTCTTTTTTAAATTCAGTTTTATTTTAATAAATTAAATGTATTATTAATGTAAGGAGATAAGTTAAAAAAAAGTAAATAGCTGACTTTACAAGAGCTCAATCACTGACAATACAATTGCCACACTAATTTAGTGTCAAACAAATTCAAATTTTCCTTATCAAATATTGCACTAATGTAAAAAGACATAAACACAGAGAAAAGCTAACCTAAATGTATAAACACTGTAGACCAAACAGGAAAACTCACCAATTACGTAATCGCCGAAGCCAATGGTTGTCACGGTGATGAAGCAGTAGTACCATGCCTCATGGAAGCTCCATCCCTCCGTCACAGAGAAAGCAGCGGCCGGTATAATCAAGCCGAAGCCGAGGAGGAATGTGGTAAGGAGGATGCCCTGGATGGCAGGTAACATCCAAGACTTCATCTCATACTGCCCAAAGCATTCAGAGATCCTGTCAATGAGGAGCTTGACCTTGGCATTGATCTTAGTGCCCATCTGGGCCAGGACCACGCAGCACAGGGGAATCCCAATCAGAGCGTAGAAAATAGTGAAGGACTGACCCCCGCGAGTCGATGGCGAGATGTTTCCATAACCTGTAGGTAGAGAATGAAGAAGAACACATTTAATGCTTTAATTCATTAAAGCAGTCATTTCTCACATCTATCTAATACTACACAATATGTATTAATCACACTTGTAGTCATTTAATAAATTTTAACCTTTCAACATAAACATTGATATTAGAGCATCTCTCTTTCCTTCAGCTACTGATGGGTTTGAACTATAAAACCTGAAACTTGCCTGTGTAAGAAACTCTCATCATTATTGGGAGTGGTCCTGATTCTCGAAAGCTTCAGGTCACATTTTGTTTTCGTTTACAAGAAACAGATCAACACCTTTAATGTTAGCTATATAATTGAATGCCAATACTTGGTAGCAATATAGATCACATTCATAACAAAATGAATTTAAATTACTGACTAATTAATTTGTTATCAAGATTGAAATCAGTGATCGTTTTTTGTGGTCTTTTTTGCAAGTTTTAGTTTTTTTTCCTGCTTACAGAGTCGGCAGTTAAGCACTAATTAACCTGTTGACTACTGGATTGTTTATTTCCAATAGGCTTAAAACAGGAGTCAATGGGTTAGAACGACAAATTGATCCTACATATTTGTTACAGAAGTTACAGGAGTTATAAACATGTGGTAAATTATTCCTCACAATGTCATATCTCCACTTTCCATTTGAAAATGAAAATCCATTGACGATCGACAAATTGATTCTACATATTTCTTACAGAAGCAGAGTTATAAACATGTGGTAAATTATTCCTCAAAAGGCCATTTCTCCAGTTTCCATTTGAAAATGAAAATCCATTCCATATCCTGGAAACTGATTTAGTTGAGATTAAAAGTGGTTTATATAGGACAATTTTCAATTGCTACATCCAGCTAAAAGCATGGCACAAAAGTCATTATTCAGAGCAGCCTATTGCCTCCAGGTTTGGACTCTCACATTTTTACTTCAATCTGCTTTTTTTCTTTGCTTGATTTTACCTTTCCATTTCTCTCTTATATATTAATCTCATCTCATCATCATTTCTGCCTTTCGTCAGTCAAAGAAATATTTTTAGTCAACCAATACCATTATAGCACTGTTTATCTTTTTTTGCTGAATCCAGTTGCATAAATTTGCAGTGAGTATGCACAATTATAGCATGATGAGATATCAGTTGTGTTTTCCTACTACTGCCGGTTTCGTCTTGAACAATCAATACTAATAAAATACATCATCTTTAGGTCTCTCTGTGTCCTTCACACTATGTCAGCTTCCATCTTTATTTGGTGGGCTTTACCATGATTGGTTGCTATGGTTACACAACACACGGTCACTCAGCACTCTTATTGATTACAATGCACAATATATCTTGAAAGATTGTTTGCAACCATTGTTTGACACATCAGGCAGATGTACGAAAGTCTACATCGGCTCAGAAGCATATAGCATATAAACAGAACTAGGTTGTGGGGGGGGGGAGGGGCTCCTGTTATTAATTTTCTCTCCCGTGGATCACCTTTCGACCGATGGATTGCTTGTCACTCTAAATAGTTCAAGATAAAGACCAATTATGCGATCGCATTGTGAAAGAAACGTTGTGGAATCGATCAGAAAGGTTGATCATCTAGCATTAGTATTGGTGTGTACCAGTACTGCAAGGTTCTGAAATCATCAAAATCATAAGAAATTTGGCCCAGTCTTGGTAAAGTTACAAGCACTGTACACAGAAAGATGTATACGGGACTACGCACATGTGCGGGACACGTGCATAATATCTATAACATCCCAATAGATAAACTAATTTACCAAATATATCAATTAGTAGGCAGTTTCTCAGCAAAATTTGTATGACCACGTATTAGTCAAAACATATTCTTTCACATGATTGGTAATTATAAGAGTTTCCATTTCATTTTTTGAGAGGGGGGGGGGGCGTTTCCAAAACTGGTCTTTAAACAGGGAAATGCAACCAAGCTGATGTAATTCAGCTCAAATGAAGCAAAAGACAGCAAGTGACATCTGAAATAATGTCTGAAATATTGTCTAAGAGCCCTATGGTATTTATTCTACTTGTATGTGAGAGGACGAGTTGATGCCCTTTTGGATCTCAACTTAAGAGCAACAAGTTGGAAATCCCGACAACAGAAATAAACATATGAACATAGAAGAAAGTGTGTTGTTGATCACACTGACTATTTTTTAATATTGTATGGTGATTCATATTCAAAACTAATTCTGTCCTTTGTTTATAAAAAAAGGTTTGAATTAATTTTGTCAATTGTTTCTTAATTTTCACCACAGGAAATATCATAAACAATATATGTTTGGAGGGGACTTTGCCATATTTGTGCAGATATAGCAAACACAGAAAGTCCATTATGCAACAATTGAGAGAAGTTGGTGCAAGATGGTGTTGATACATACAAGCATTATCATCCATCCCGGCAGATAAGATTCTCACACCCATCTCGCTGATAGAACATAGGGAAATTGCCCTGCTTTATGTCTGCCTTGTGATAACTACTGAATGATGTATATCTAGTAATAGTACATTAGCGGGTTGACACCCCCTCAATTGCTTGCACAGGATTGCCTGAGGACAATGACTCAACAAAATTAGGAAATGTCACTTCACAAACACATGGATGGTGTAACAGTTAACATCTGCAGGATCGCTTTTGCAAACACAGATATAGACACCCTGATAACCTGATTGTTATGAAATTATCCCATCTGTTACTTCACAACACACACAACCTGCGAGTCCAGCAGATGGAAAATCTCTTCTGCAGTATACCCTCCCCCATGGAATTTAATGAAATTTGGATATACTGCTTTACAAATACAAAGGTGGACACATACACTGTAAGCCGTAACAAATATTACAAGTTAGAGTTTAACACCCTTGATCTGGCTCTCTGCGGATGAAAATGTTACTGAGGACAATGTACATCTTGAATTATTATGAGAAACTGTATGGGTAAATAAAACTGATTCCATTTCTCTCATCCCTACCGCCTCCCGATAATCTAGTTACAATACAGGTGATGCAACATGAATGCAATTAGGTTTCGCCTCTCTTTGCAAGGAAAGCTTTACTAGGTACTGGTATTACAGGAATATCGGTCAAATGTAATTGCAATACGATGCATTATTCATGATTATAGTATGTACTAGGATGAACAATAATCCTACACTTTGTTGAGAAAAAAATGATTTGTTTGATGGCAAATGAAACATAAACTTTGACTTTTACAGTTGTGGTTGATGCTCATGGATTTAAAAAAAATGCATTTTATTGGGCACACAAAATGTAATAGAGAAAGCATCAGGCGTCAGAAGGGATAACTGTGCTTAAATGTTCAAGAAAATGGCAGATGCTTTGCTACACTTCAAAGATTCAACATGCATTAGAAGAAAAAGGACATCATTTCCTTAGCTAGACTTTGTATGTTAAAGAACATGACTGATTTCATCTTTTTTGTCATGGTTTTATACAGATTTAATTCACTGCCTTACATCAATGTATTTGGAAAATATCATTTTAATACATTGCCTCTGCATTACAGATTACAAAGATCATTCGTGACAAGTCAGATCCTCTTAACATCAGGGGGTTGTTCTCAAAACCGTCATAACTAAAAGATCAACAACATTTCAACATTGTCGCTCAACTAATCCACTAAGTGTTTCTCGAAACCGTCATAACTAATAGATCAACGACATCTCGACACTATGTCGCTCAACTGTCGCTTATTTGCAAGTTTCCATTCGGTCCTCGCCAAAACGACCTTGAGTTTCATCAATTTTATACATTCGTACATATCATTAGTATAATAACACATGTTTTCTTGCAAACTGGAAGATTGTATTATTTGAGCTACCACTAACTTAGATTTTTGCTTTTTTAACCAGTTTGAGTGAAATTAAGCCTCATAATCAAATTAGGAAATTCAGGATAAAATCTGACGGATCATAGCAAAGACTATATATTTTTAGCCGATAGTATCAAAATAATTATTTTGTTACTGATCATGATTTTGTGAAACGGTTTATCGACTTTGTGACATCTCCGTAAGTCGACCACAAAGCTATGACTGTCATGGAGTTGGTTTCATGAAACGGCCTCCTGTAGAATATTAGATAGTCACTGTTGGGAATTTTTAAAAATGAAATTGACAGGGTGAAACATTCAGACATTGTCATTTTAATGAGATAAGCATGTATATAAAAAGATATCAGCAACAACATCTTGGTGTCTAGAGTGTCAAACTGAAAACATACCAAAAGCTAAAATGTCAGAAAAACATAGTACATAAATGCTAAAATTTGCATGAATCGCCAAATTCAAGGTAAAAACAAGCTCATAAAGGATTAGCCTCCAATAAAAGAGTACTGACTTTCTTTTGGATTAGCTGGAAAAAAGGTAGATTTCAAGGAGAAAATCAGGAATGACACGAGAGTATTAGCATTTCTAAAGTACAACTTTGTAACTGATTTGTGTATAAAGAACTATACTATTTGCAATTTACACAAAACTGTCTTTTGAGGCCACCCAAGGGAAACAGAGAAGGTGGCCACTGTAGACAGGTTCTACAACACATAATTCTTTCTCGAGGGAGACAAAATGCATGACCACTATAGACAGGTGGCCTTTATATAGAGAGCTGGCCACTAGGACAGGTTTGACTGTATTCAAATTGTTAAAATGGCTGGCAGTCTGGCTCTAAAATGAAAATTACAATGTCAAGTTGTTTCCTGAGGGTAAATCTTTCACCATGGAATTTGTCAAGATCTGCATCATTTATTAGAGTAATGTCACACTAACCATCTTTAAAATGTCACATAAACATAACTCACAAGACCACATGTGATCTCAAGTTCAGAAAGAGTTCAGAAAGGTACTTAACATTGCTTTACAAGCTGAATTATTGCCCTTGGCCTTGATTGATTGATAGTCACACTATTGCATTCCTTCATCACTGGTTTAGAACCATCAGCTTCAACTGTTTGCACACGCCACCTGGATCAATTCGTCGCTGTTTTCACGAAGTGACGGTAGTGAAAAAAAATTGCATTCACTTTGCGTGACGATTTTCCTCACTACCGTCACTTCGTGAAAACAAGGAGGAATTAATGACGTTCAACGAGTTGTTAGCCCATCAACATCTTATTTTGAAGATGGACAAGGGATCATTACGTACCTTATCTGCATGGTACAAAAATTATGTTTCTCGTGATCATGAAAAGAAGTTTAAAGGC